AAAATGTAAGATAACTTACAAATTACTGCTCAATACTACTTTTAATTCTTAATATTTTCAAACTAAAATGAACTTTCAATTTTGTTTTAATTAGTATTTTTATTTCTGTCGAGACTTACGTTATCATAGGTAAATATTTCCATTTCAATCCATACATCATTTTAATTTCAGTTTCTTAAGAATTTGAAATCGTTATACCTTTCATGAATATGTGCATTGGTAAATCCCACTCAGATGCAAAGCAGAAAGGTAACTCGATCACGTTTTTCTTCATGGGACTATTCAGAGAAGTTCGACCTCCATTCAACATTTGATCATCATTTTTCCTCTGGTAATTTCATCTTGATTAGTGCAGTTCAGTTTTTGTTGCACTGATGAGTGATGCTACTGGCAGTCAGGCTGAATAGATTACTCTTTATTTTGATGTTGGTGATTTTTCTATTTGATTGAATATTCCTCTCAAGCTGAGTTTATCCCTCTTTCTCCCTTTATACCATAAGTTCTTATCTCGTTAAAATTTTAATTTGATTTCGTCATATTTTCCGTAACTAACTTATTGAGTGAACATTAACTCGATTCATCTTGACTTCTCACCACCTAAGATAACTTCCTGAAGCGAACATTAGTAGAACGGAAATTCTATCAGCACATAAGACTAGACAACATGAAGTTCGGTACTTGCCAGTGACCAATCAATATTCCTGATCCAGTTCTTCTGGAGATAGCGGCCTTAGCAGGTCAGTGGTAACGTTTCTGACTACATCACTAGGTGGGGCGAGTTTGAATCTCAAACAGGACTTCAGTTTCGTTGAGGTTGCAGATACGCCTTGCTGACGAGTGCCAAAAAGCGTGAGACCTAATCTCAGAGCTTTCTACTGATTACCTCCATCAAACTAACAGAACGAAAATCCGTTTGTCTATTGATAGTTTGTTTCTCTGAATATAAGCCTTAAGTCAAGTTTGTGTTTTGCTCAAACTTAGTTGATCAATTAGGCGAGTATACAGGACATTACTGGAAACATGCGTTGCATTCTTTTCAGCTACTTACAGCTTATTAAGTCATTTAATGAGCGGAACAATGATTAAAATAGTTCACAACCTACAATGCATTGTCACGCTTGAATTGTATGGCCAGGAAGCTATACATGGTGTTAAGATGGTAATCCTAGAATTATGTAAAAAAAACCGGTCAACAAATTTAGTAAGGAGATAGTCATGAGCATATCACAAGATATGTGCCTAGAAATCAATGATCTGTAATCACTATTAGTGCAAAAAAGAGAAGCAGGAGGAAAAGAGGATGAAAATCCCCAAGTTTCTCACCCACCCAGTTTACGGTTAACTGATAGGTCTTTTTGAATACTAAGGTTAGGTTTGCCTTTTGATTTAGATAGCTTCTGCGAATTAATGACAGGTTGAGTAAATTATTGACCAGTGATCTTAAAGACATTTTTCTTGTCTCATATCAAGCAAATGAGGAGCACTTGAACTGTTGATGCCGTTCAGTGTATTTAGGAGCATGTTTCTCGGAATATGTTCGAGAAAACAAGTAGCTACCCATCTCGGTGTCATTACAATGTACCTACTTTGGCAAGTTAAAGGGAGTTGGAATGGAGTTTGAGGTGACATATGTTGGTTGCCTACTTCTGTTTACATCATTGAACATGAATGGGATGCTGAGTGGTGCCTTTAATTTTTGCTTGAATTTTGTCGCTACCTAAAAGTTTTTGAAATCGAAGTGAATAAATCCTGCTTTCTCCTCTGGTTCGATTGTTAGATGTTTTTAAGAAATTTCGTTCTGACACTTATGAATGAATTTTTCAGAATAACCATTCTCCTGAATACACAGCAACCTACAGAAAAACTTAGGTCTATCAGCTCAGTGCAGTATATCAATTATCAATAAATAACTTGGGAACTATCTATTTACCTTCTACCTTCATAACTCAAACAGCTCTTTCTTACTTCTACATGAATGAATAATAATCCCCAATTAATATTTTTAATCGCAATTACTTCATCGTTGATCGCCAAAATTTCTCAAATAAAACAAATTTTACATTAATTTACTGAAAACTATGATGGAGGCACTCATGATCTCAGAATGTGCAAACATATGAAAGATTTTGATGTCACTATTTCATTTGTAACGCAGTAATATAATACCCCAAAAGCTAGTGATTAATTGAGAAAAAAAGTTCATTCTGATTAACTGTTGTCAGCATAAACGTATAGAGATAGGCTCACAGTTGTTTTCGTATACATACTACTAGTTAGCGTGTTTGAATGTATCCAAGTCACAGCTATCAGTAGGATAAATGGATCCATTTTATCCTATTATTTGTCGAATTTATGTACTTTTATGTCTTTGTATGTGTCAGAAGTGTTATTACCCAAAATCTTTCAGTTTTGCTCATTTCACCAAAATAGGTTATTTTCTTTTCTCAGGTAATGTATAGATAACCCGATAGAAAAGAAGTAGCAAATAACGGATAACTTCCAGTTTATATTATCAAATAATCAATCATCATCCTTCTAACAAGATAATTTGTTTTAATCAAATTCTTTAAAACGGGATGTGGCTACTTGTCAACACGTTTTCATGTTTATGAATAAACCAGTGAAAGCTAACTTAAGTTCAACTATATTTGTAAAAAGGACTAGAGAAATGTACTTATAGCAAAGCAGATTCACAACACTTGTATACGTCACATGGCAGAAAGAACAAACATTTTCACCGGGTCTTGACTGTTGGTTGTCAAGGTCGACACACTATTTCGGGTGCTCTTGGTTTTGTTATTTGTCTATCGTCCTTCATTTAAACAACATTCAGAATATAGTAGTTTGTATTTCATAAACCTTATTTATACTTTGAAACAAGTTAAATCATAAATTTGGAACAAACAATGAAGTAGGTCAACCAGCGGTATCACGTTCACTTGTTTCAAAAGCTAACATACCGGCTAGATAACGCAGTCTTATACTCTGTTTCAGGAGGGTTCATAACGTAACATACCTAAGGAGACTGCAGGCCATAAAGCAAATATAAGAACTGGTGTTATTGCTTGTATTATACCGTCGTTGATTGGACTAAATTGATAAGTCTCTGTTGGCATATGGGCTCCTGTGTGGATGCCTCGATATACCTGTTTTCTAGTTACAGTAAAGATGGATAATGGCCAGCGGTGGAATCCAGGATGGGCATTTCGTCCTATTTGGGACTCGTCAGTTGGATGTGCCTGTTGACAGAACTGCTGTGAAATTAAAATTGTTGATCCTTTAACTGTAAGTGAAATATATCCATTATAACTGTTATCTCAGCCGGTCGGTAGTTAGAAACTTGTTTTGTACTTTAAAATTACCAGTTAAAATTAGGTGTTCGGAGGCAGTCGACAAGAATCCCTGGACCTACAAACTTGACGCATAAAAATCAATCAGCATGTAGGAGTGAATATCATAGCATTCAATGTTCACTGCCGTTTCTGGAATTACATAAGATTGTACACAAAAGTCACACCATTTCATTTATTAAACAACTTCTTTTAGATCACTGTTGCTATCTGCACACGTGGAAGTGCCATTGTCTTTTTAACGATTCAAACACTTGTTTCACGTGCGGTGAGATATGATAAATAAGCATAAAATGTAACCACGTATAAGGAGTTTTAAACTGAATATTTAAACGCGGTCATTCACCATTATATTTGCAGATAAGTTATTCATTTTAAGATAGTTTCCCATCGCATTTCAGTCTCCAACCAGCAGTTTACATATATATATATATATATATATATATATATATATATATATATATATATATGAGTTTAAGAACCAATGGATTTCAAGAGATATCTGGTTTATGTTTTCCCATCTTCCATAAATACACAGGGAACACAATATAACCAGAAATTAGTGCCCTAACTTTAATAACAAAAACCACTATTTGAACAGAGAAAGTAGTTAGCTTATTGAAGTTCGCTCATTCAGTAACTTGAAGGTCAAAGAGGGTCTTTAAACGGTCAGAACAAGATAAGGTCTCAATTTATAAAACCCACTTGTTTGGGTTAGCTATATAGGGAATCGATAGCCTATGGATTTGGCCTACAGAGTGTTTGTTGAGAAGCAAGTTAACCGCAAGCAAATAATTTTGAAGATTACCTGGATGCTTTTTCTATTTGAATAATCATTATTAAAGGGTTTTCATGCTGCATTTGCGAAATGACTGATCAGTTCCTAAAAAATATACAATTCTGTGCCGAAAAATATTTTTACTTGAATAATCATATCCGAAGTATTTGCAGCCAATTTTTACAATTCAGAATAGTCAGAAAATTAATCATAAGCGGTTAAAATCAACCAGGGGACAAAAAAGTCGTAGATGGTTGCATATGAGGTCAAATCACATAAAAAGTCGATGAGCATGTTCCACCATAAACAAGTCCAAAATTTGTTCCCAGCTGTAATCTGGTTGGAACTGCCGGTTGGAGACTGAAATTTTCACGGTAGTATTCATCACAGACTTATACCAGTTGGAGAACCATTGAGAAACTGGGTCGTCAGATAGTTGTTGGGTCTTCTTACGGGATTTCGCTAAATGAAACTTGTAATAGTGGCGCAGTGCATCCGCACATTATCCTCTTCCAAACTTCGGGCAGCTTATTTTCCCGAATCTTTTATTCACTGTGCTGTCTTAGTTTCTTGGAATGCTGTCTTCTTCCACGGTCGCCATAATTATGTTTATCTCTCGATCCTTACTCCAGTAGAGATCTCGTTACGTCACTTCAATGCGTGGCAATCAAGGTTGATAACTAATGATATAAATTCTTGTTTCTGGCTAACAGTGGGATCCAGGAGACGCGTTTCATCTGATGCTTTTGCTTATGTATTTCTTTGTCACAACTGCTAAACCTGTAATTGAACGCTGTACAATCACGAAAACATTAACTTACCTTATTCAATGTTTATTATTACCATTACTGTTTGATCGTATTAATTTTCAGAGGTTATTGGCATGGTGAAGTTGATGTTCATATTTTTGAAAATCTAAATCGTGCAGAAAGGCGGGGATTTTGGCAGGATGTCACACGATTAATGATGACTAGACATGAAAATATTGCTTTATTTATGGGTGTGTGTGTCGAACCACCTAATTTTGCCATTGTAACTAGGTAAGTTCAAAGTATTAGTGCCTTTATAGTATGAATACACGTTGAATTAGTGTTTTATTCATCAACTTAGTGTGGTATGCTGTGTAAATACTTTTTTCAAGCACTCAATAATACAAGAAAAAGTGTTTGACGCTTGTAAGATTTTCAGATGATGGTGAATATTTGTAGCTCAAGTGGGTAGTTTCAGTGGTGTTGTGTTCTCTAAGCTAGATAGCTTAAACAAGAATCTATTCAGAACAGAGTAGTCGCCCTCTTCGTATCCGTCGAATTAAACACCGGCTAGTAGTGAAATGTCATGATATATATTTCCTTAAACAAATACACAAACAATGGTGGACATGAATTTGACAGAAATAATATGGGAATCCTGGATAGAGGAAATACGAAAAATGCTAAATAATTTTAGAAGCGTTTCACTCAGATCAGAAAGTAATCAACATACATATCGATAATGATCCAATTTACCAACCTATAAGAAACACAAGAAACACCAAGAAGGACAAAATTCATGTCAGCAAGACAGCCAGTGAATATACGTTTGAAAACAATGACAAGATTTTAGCGAAAACAATTAATCATTTACAAGGTCATCAGGACAAGCTAAACTAATCACACAGAAAACCTCATAGCTTACTTTTTTCTGAAGATTTTGCTGATGACGTTGTCTGGAATGATAATGGAAACATCATGTTCAAACCATCTAGTTCAGACAACACAACGCTAACAAAACTCACCAATAAATTTCTTGTTTGTATAAAACTTATTGATATTAACTTGAAGTATACAGATTCCTAGTTGGCAAACAGGTTGAATCAAATTTCCTAATGGTATCATGTTGACGATTTGTTTGAGTACATAAACTTCACCTTTTTCCATGTACCTTTATTTGGTTAATTTGTCTGTTGAGAAATCTAGAGTAAATAATATCGGAAACAAGTAGTCTACGAGAATCGGATAGAAAACTTTTGCAGACAGTAAGAATCACTGTTTATTTACAAGCGCATTTTTAAAGTAACCACTGTAGACGGAAAAATGTGTATCTAGCTACTTATTATCCTGATAATGAAGATTTTATTCAGGATTTTTCGTCATATTTTATTTCTTACTGCTCCACTGACCTTATTCACCCACTCTTCTTACTTCATTTACTTATTTTCGAAGCGGCTTATTACATATGCTTTTTAAGGTTTAGATACATCTATGAGTCTCAACCAGGATGCGATTTTGAGTATTGATGTGTGACATAGATCTAAACTCAGCCATACAACTCAACGACATTTTAACCTGACCAATCCTACTTAAATACAGATCTTCAACTGGCGCTCCATAAAGCAAGAATATAAAACCAATAACCAGCAAAATGCATTACAAGGAAGTAAATATAATGAATTATTGTAATATACCACAAAACACACTGAAACCATCGTTTTATTTTTCCTTCAGATCTCAGATGACTGAAAAACTTCAACAACCTTGAGTCTTGTTCTTCTTATTTGATTTTCAACTTCAACACGCAATGAAACCTCTTCACTCAGTGGTCAGTTTTCCTAAAGTTTCATATCATATCCTGTTTTTCCTGCGACAAATAAAAACATCTTTCTGAAATCTTTGGTTTCATAGATTTCAGAATTAGATGAATGTAGGTTAGGTGATTGGAAGCAATAAATAGGAAATCCTGTTATGCATAAGTTTCATGCTTGTTGGTACTGATCAACAAGATGTATACATAACTATTCGCAGATCCAAACCCGAAGCATTTATCGCTTTATTCAAAGATTTTACCACTGAGCTGTATTCAAATCGCGATCCACCCCTTATCTAACTGAATTAACCAGAATGTCAAACCACTGAGTTAAGTATATCGTGTTGTCTAATTCTATGTGCTGAGCAAACATTATCTTGTGGACCGATGTGTCTTTTGATATGGAGTTTTGGATATTTTGCTGTTTGATGCGGCCTTATTGGCGTCACATCCAACCTTACACTGATTCAGCATCACAAGTACTCATGTGGCAGTCAAGAGAATGCTGATCGTGTGACACGACTGTAGTACCACCTTGGTAAGAAATTTGTGAACACTTTGTTGAAATACTGACTCACAAGGATGCCAAGAATCATCTTTTCACCCTTTTACTAAAGTATCTGACAAATCACCTTTTCTGAAAATGCGCAGTGGTTTTAATATATTGCTTAATGGACGATGGTGTGAATATGATATATTCTAGTATCTACTGTGGATTATAGAAAACGTCCGTAGTAAATTTCGTACTTTCTGTTTTCGAAATCCCCCATAAATATTATAAGGCAGTGGAAACCATTTCAGAAATTATGATCACATTGTAATCGGACTTATAGTGTTTAAGAGTGAGATGTTAGCAAAAATGACAGCTTCGTTGACATGCCAGATTCTGACTAGCTGAACCTCGAAAATTCAAGAAGATGAAATAAAACCTTACAATTTGGTTAAATGATTACAAATAACCATGGGATTGTGAATTTTCTAAAAATATGTTCCAAAATTAGTAACAGTTTCCGCAATAGTTCAGTCAAACCATAAGCGACCACACAAATATGTCATAGGAGAAAAATATAACATCTACTTCCAGCACTAATTGGTTGCTGTTATTTTATGTGAACTTATGCGATAATTAGGAAGATATTAGAGCACTAAAGGTGGTAATGCTAAGTAACTTCTGTAAGTTGTACTTACCGTTTTTGGGATCTATTCCACTCCGAGATCCCCTTAGTTCAACTGTTTGAAATTCTGTCTTTCTTTTATTGACATATGAGCCCAAGGATTTGAAACGGGAGAATAGTTTATGGACCAACTTTTGTCATTTTTAACGATGGAAATACAGCATCTAACGATGTTGCGTTGCCTAACAGATCAGACTTCAAGCCAGAGGTTGAAGAGCTGGTCCCCTGAGACAATCACGTGCTTTGACTAATGCATTCAAACAGTATCCTAACTTCTACAATCTATTGTGATATGGTGCTGCAATGGTCGCACTGGAAATATGATCGGTCGAATTCGGTCTGCAATCAGGACTAGACAAAAGGGAATTGATTGCTGTCCCGTAACCAATCAATCTATATAACCCAGTCCTACGGAGGTCAGGCGCGGCCCGAATAGCTCAGTGGTAACGTCAATGACTACGACACTGGGTGACGCCGGTTCGAACGTCAGGTGCGACATCAGTCCTGTAGACGTTGCAGATACGCCTTGCTGACGAGTGCCAAAAAGCACAAAACCTAGGTCCAGGGCTTCCTGCTGATTACTGCTAACCAACTAACATCTACCAGTGTGCACCGCGATGCTGAGCCTCCTAGCTTGGTGGCCACAATGCAAATATGATTGATAGGATTCAGTCGGCACTCAGGACTAGACAATATGAAATTGGTTTCTCTCCTGTGACCAATCAATGAATTAGGTCTTCAAAACTAGTGTCCAGCCAACTGATTCATATCTCCTAAATATTACAATCTGACAAATTACGGTTAACTTATTCTCACATTTTCCCCTCTTTACGCCTTTAGAATAAACCCTTAGTAGTATAAAAAGTATTAGTAAAATTAAAAAATCATAGTCACGCATAGTTTTCAATGTATTATTATAGTTCACAAATTCAGTCAACTATCTGAGACGCTGGCATTTAAACAATTACTTTTATTCGCAGCTAACGAAAATATATCAGTAAAGTGAAAGGTTACTCTGCGACTCGAAAATCTTTTTCAAAAAGTCATAAGCCTTGCTTCTACAATGATTAATTTGCAGAACTCCTTTCAGCAATTCGCTTCTGAAATCTGAAGCACTTATTTAGCCACAGAATAATATTAATTATTAGCCCTGAATGGCAGTTGCGAACCTAATGAAAAGTTTATCTTCTCTTTTTAATATTCTCAAACACTCAGAAATATACTAGTTATATAATTTAAATAAAGACTGCTAATAATAATAATCTCTTTATTCCAAACATGTATTATACAGTATGGTGTTTTCAGCATGGAGTATTCCAATAAATTCGCTTTCCATACAATATTTTTGAAAGAAATGATTATCACATCTCCCATAGAGTTAATGAAAACAGTATTGAAAGCATAAGTTTGAAATGAGTAGCTAGTATTACATTTGCATATGTTCTCGATTCGGAAATTAACACAAAATTGAGTGTAGTTTTAATGGCGGCAGTTCAGTCAGCCAGCATAGAAATCCATAATCACATGTAGGTACCTAGGAATAGTAATATGAGCATATATAAATCCATTCCCAACTGGTGGAACGTTTTTCCTATGTTTTGTTCTTTGCTTGAGAAACGAAAGTTCGAATACATTTTAAAAACGTGCGAGAGCACATAATGAGTTCAGAGGACATTTAGGAGAATAAAGCAAACTGAAAGCGAAGAGTTTGATGGGATATAATCAGTGGAGGGCTGTTCAGCAGCCCAAACTTTAAGCGCATTTCAACATAAACCAATTAATCAAGACAACAGAATGTCATATCAGCTTATCTCGGGGAGTAATACATCAGACTAACGCAGAAAAAAGCCTGTGAACCACTCTTTTGTTGGGTTCAGCTGGTGTACTGCATAGCAGTCCACTCTGCCCTACTATATGACTGGGAAATATGGCCATTGAAGGTGGAAGATATGAGAAGGCTGGCATCAGGTGTTTGACCACCGTTGCTCTCGTAGTATAGAACGTATTCCGTGGTGTCACCACGTGAGTAACGCAGACGTCAGTTGTGGAGCTTTAGGGAGAAGAGGTGAATCGGTTGACGAGATTGTGGACCTTCATCGACTGAGATGGTTGACTCCGACACGTGTTACATATGCCTAGTCGCCGATTGCCTCGTCACACAGTGTTGGCCGAAGTAGGTTCAGGCTGTAAAAGGACCCGAGGTGGCCAGACCAAAACATGGCACCAATGTATGAGGTCTCTGACTGTTGGTTTGAGGCATGTGGGACGATGCAGACTAGTCGGTTGGGGTCTGCAGGACAAGAGGAACCAGTAGAGTTAGTTGGAGATTCTTGGTGATCACATGGCTGAGAACTGATGTCAGTGGCACAGATGTATACATACATTATCCCCATCTTAACGATGCTATACTGAATCTCACCATTTTCTCGTCCTTCATTTCTCTCTTTTCGTACTTTATGTTTCTTTCGACTGAATTTTCTTATCTTCATCTTGCGCCTCACTGCCTTTTTCCTTGGTGAACTGATATGAGGTGTAGTAACTCGGACCATTACGTAGTAATGCCTGGTCCGATGTTGATATTGATGATGATGATGAGCTGGTTATAACTGCAATAGAGAAGGCTTTAGCATTTATAAAGTTTCTCTGAGAGTAGACTGGTGAAGAAACTAGTCGCATAAAATCAGATTCCATCCGTTCCAACTAGTTCAGTTATTTTTAAAATTATCTTATCAAAAGCAGAAAATTGAAATTTGGCGAATCTACCTAAAGGATAAATATGTTTTTCAGAAATTATAACCAAGTGAAAATCTACTCTGCTCACTTTTACAGGGCGGTGAATTTTCTATTGAATTACTGATAACACTATCGAGCAGGAAATCAGAAAACCTGTGGTCCATAAACTACCATAGTGGTTGTGTGTTCTAATGTAATAAGTCTTGGGAATGAATGTCGTTTCAAGTCATCCTACTTTCAAGGCATACTACTGAAATAAAGTTGTAATATATTTTTATTTGTATGTAAACAAAATAAAGCCTCATCAAATTTTCAAACATTTAAAATCATGAAGTCATATCACTGAAAGGAATCTTAACAGTATTATTATCATTTTAAAATTTTCTATATTTCAAAACCAATTGGCTTGCCGTAAACATGGTTTACCGACGAACGACTCAATTTTCAAACAGTTAGTTTCTTTTGTGAATTTCGGTAGCGTAATTAGAAGATGAAGTTTATCTGAGCAATGTGATGTATTTGCGCAATACATTTCGAAAAATCTGATGACACATTTACTTGTCAAGTCAATATATATTAACCCCCACCCCTTAATCCTCGGTTTAATATATATTGACTTGACAAGTAAATATGTCATCAGATTTTTCGAAATGTATTGCGCAAATACATTACATTGCTCAGATAAATTTCATCTTCTAATTACGCTACCGAAAGACTGATTTTTCAGTCGACTGTATGTGAAAATTCGACTAGTTTGTATATTGATTTTAAATGGAACTGAATTCAGTTACCTGAGAAGCTGTTACCTAGTATATATATATATATATATATATATATATATTGGTTTCTCTGAGGGCCTAGGAAGTTCAGAAGAATAGAGTAATATCAAGGTAGAAAAAGTGTTCAAGAAGAGAGGAAATAAATGGAACTAGTGAAAATTCCCAAAATGTTGAGTATGACAAACAGCGTCTACATCTGCACCACTGCGACTGATTTTAAGCCATTTCAAAAGGGTTTTTCAGCCCCTTAATTCCTACTACCCCATGTGATCTAGTGGTGTGACCTAGATTTCCCTAAAAGACCCAGATCAACGGATAAAGACCTCGTGGTTTGTTGCCCCGTCTTATTCTGACCCCCTTCAGCCTTCATCCATTCTAATCCTGGTTTGCCTAACATCGTGCATCAACGTATATGGTGGTTTTGTATACACAAAAACCTACAGTTCTAACTCTGCCAGTATTATAAGGTTCAGCTTTTTAATACTTGAATACATGTGTGAGTAAAGGTTGGTCGACATTATGTCAAACAGCTAGCTGAAATGAGCAGCTGAACATCACCGAAATCCACTAGGACGTTTCCTCTCTCCGACTACAGTGAATGCACTAGAGGGTGACTGAATGCAAATGTTATCTTTGTAAATTGGTAATTTTAATTCTCTGATATTTTTACTTAAACTATTTTTGATTTTATGTTCTAGTTCATGCACAAGTATTTCTCTATATACAAAACTACATATAAAACTTGAAAAATTATCCCATTCTACTCGACTTCATTTGTTACGGCAAATTGCGCATGCGATAACGTATTTGCACAGTCGAACTCACCCAATTGTTATACGTCGATTGTCCAGTAAGAATATCTTCTTAAAACCTAAAATGAATCTATATCTAACCGATTATTCCACCGAGGATTGTGATTATCAAGTGTAAGTTATGCATCATTTCTTCTTCTTCAATAGTACTAACTATATCTTCGTTTCCTTTTATTACTGAAGTGATATATATATATATATATATATATATATATATATATATATATATGTTTGAATTCTTGCTAAACCTCCGTACAGCCTTTGTTTTTTCAAATGGGACAAAACATGAGTCTTGGATTCCTCTGCTAGTCACAATCAAGTAAATCATCATAATAAATACTCAGGCAATATCGAGGCAACTGCATAAAAGCCCATATCCCAGAAGAGGTCGAACAATTTTATCCAGTATAGCAAAGAATCATAAGAACATCAACAAATAGTAACAATACGGTAATCCCATAGAAGTTGCTTTAGTTATCTCCTACATCATGTAGGAAGTTGATGAAACTTATAGGTCACAGAAAATCTAAATAACTCAATAGTTTATACAATCAGTTATTCTCTCTCATACCTTTGGAATTCTTTTATCAAAGGACTTAGCGAGGATCTTTAAGAAATGGAAGCATCAGTTTTGATGAAAATACCAGCCAGTTTTCACAATGTAATATTGTATCAATCATAAGAAAACAGTTTTCGAACAATGAGAAACTTTTGACGCTCATGAAATTTTGAGATGGCGAAGAAGAGTTGTAGCTTTGGAGGGTAATTTTGATGGCGTTTTTCTCCCTGAGCTGGATGGTTTTATCATGAAGCTTTCATTGTCATTCTTGACATCACCAGCATAAACTTCTTCCTGAATTTCGATCATTTATATAGTGCACACCCATCAATAAAATGAGAATCATGATACTGGAGCAGTTTTCACTAGTCATTTTCATATCTGAGGATAAATTTGATGGTCTAACATCTTAAAAGATTAGACACAAAGCTATTCAGCGAGAACCACAGTTTAATTTTGGACAAGAAATAATTTTCTAGAGAACAATTAGATGAAGAATGGAGTGACTTGGTAACCGTCAGGTGGTTTGCATACTTAATAAAATTCGTTATACTTGAGGGAGGTGAGTGAAACATAAAGAGACTGAATAGGAACCATGAATAAACAGTATCCTGTGGAACACCAGCTTTATTGAGCAATGAGGTGGAGCCTTTCGGTCAGCAAACAGTATAATGCTTACCTTCAGCCAAACACGGTTCGTTTCACGGTTAATCCACAGATATGAGCAATATTGTTTGCTCAGAGGAATACTTAATAAAGAACGTCACGCCCCATTTATATATGAATCCAGACCCAGCCACTAATAAGTAGGAAAGAAGATTAATCAGGAACAAAATGTAAACGTTTTTTACCGCTTACAAACGACGTAACATCAGGTAAAATCTCATATATATATTCTGTATTCTTTATTAAGGCTTCACTAACCAATCGATTTCATTGCCATTATATGGTTTCTAAACTTAAGTATTGTTATGTGAAAATACATCATCAACACTACTAGTAAACTTTGTCCAATCTACCTATAGTAGTTGGATTACCTTAATGGAACATACAGTAAAAGCAAGTCACGACACTTCTAGAGCGGAAAGGAGATTAGAAACTTGAATTATATGCGACACAATAATTGATATCTTCCATTGAAATTGATTTTTTGTAAAAAGGAAGGGATTGTAGAAGTGTCAGATTCATCTAGAATTCGATAGTATTTTAGAAATTAATATAATATCATGAAAAGACTACGTGCTTTTGGAAAGGTAGATTAGACTTTTTTATCATTAATCTCTTAGTAAACAAAAAATGAGAAAAAAAGGATTGTATTTTTATGCACTTCGGTTTACTAATAAGTAGGATTAATTCACTAGTCGATTTACATCATTTATGTACCAGTAAAATGTTTGAGAAAAGCTAAAGAATCCTACAGTAAGTTCTATGAAAAAAAACTTTTTACTTTTAAATTATTCTTACGTTTCTAGATCTAAGTATTCCTACAAAAGACTTGTCAACCATTATGTGGACTTAATTTCAGGTCTTGGATAGTTGAAATCAGGTGAATTTTCAGAGTGACATCACATCTTTATATCCATCAGATGGCTGCTTAGAAACAAGCTGACTTATTATACCTATCCACTGAGATAATTTGCACTCAGCAGCACTGTGAACATTTGTGCAGTGGGCGATGAGCCACACTCATTGTGTAAGAGCATATGATATTACTTGGCTGCCCAAACCTCGGTAGGTGAAGTGGGGCTCAAACCCATGACCCAATTGTTGCAAGTCATCCTCCCAAACCAATGGGCCACAGCTCTATGCAGAGCTAAGCGATATAACATAAAGGACCACCTTATTTGGTACCAGATACCTGCAGTCTGTCGATCCAAGTTATATACTTACTGACAACAATCAGAAAAATACATTTGGAACCTTAGTAAAAAGTCATGTTCCCTTGAATGTTCAGGCTGTTATGTCTCCATCTATTAGTAATTATCTGAAGCACATGATTTTTTCGATTCGCTTCCAACGCTGACCTTGCACATGATTAGTCTCGCAAATACTTGCCACCTTTCGTATGTTCAGTTCACCCAAACGATAAGTCACGAAATTCGGCCCTCTTAACCTCGTACAATAGGATACAAAATCTTGGGTTGATTGCCCGTAATATTGTAGGCAGTCTGAATTATCAGTATATATACAACCAAATTTCCTTTCAACATCACACCATAATTCACAAAAGTTAAATGACTGATTTCATGCACAAAAATGAAAAGATATACAATAAAAGATTTCACTCGATAGGTAATTATTTCCGTACTATACGTCATGGATGAAGCGTCAGTTCAAAGCTCTTGAATCAAGGTATACATTATTATTACCAAATAAGCCTTATTATTATTATTATTATTATTATTATTATTATTATATTATTTGTCCCTTGGGTTCCTAATGAAACATAGGGCTTCAGTAGCACGTCTCCAGTGTACTCCTCTGAAATCTTTTAAACCTGGCTACACGACAGCCCAGAAGCTCTCATTTCCTCCTCACACGACCTCCTCCATGTCACCCTCGGACGTTCAACTCGTTGCTTCCCATGGGGGTTCCACTCGAGTGACTGGCATGACGCGTGATGTCCTCAGTCGGCCTTCTCAGTGTAGGCCCAATCCATCTCCACTTCCTTCTGCATATTTGTTGAGCGATAGGTTCTTGGTTGGTTCGTTCCCAGTCAGAGTTCCTTGTTGCTCATTTTTATTATTCTGGCAACCCATCTGATCTTCAGTATCGAGCCAGCGTAGGCAGTTGTTGATGAATGTCTGCAGTTTGTTGGAAATCCCTTTCGTAACGCGCCAAGTCTCTGAACCATACAGAAGCACTGACTTGATGTTGGTGTTGAACATCCGCATCTTGTTCCACATGCTGAGTGCAGATCTCCACACTGGTTTCAGATTAATGAACGCCTGTCTAGCTTTTCCGATTCTGACTCTGACATCCTCGTCTATGCCGCCTGCAGTGGAGACACTGCTGCCTAGATAGGTGAAGGAGGTTACTTCTTTTGAGTTTCTCCCATTCATGGTGACTGGAGTTTGCTGTTGTTGTTGAAGTTGTTGGTGCGGTATCTTCATTACCTCTACCTCTGTCTTCTCTATATTCACTTGAAGTCCCGTCTTCGTTGCCCTGCCTCTTCTGTCAACTTGTAGGTTTTCACCTGTAGATGTTCAAGTTTGTGTGACAGTAGACACAAGTCATCGGCGAAATCCAAATCTTCTAGGTTCTTTTCCACGGTCCAGCCAACGTATCCCCTTCTCGCTCCTCACTGTTTGTTGCATGATCCAGTTGACCACAATCAGGAATATCATGGATGATAGTAGACAGCCTTGTTTTATTCCTGTCTTCATTTCAAAAGCATCACTGAGCTTCCCATTGTGGATTACTTGGCATGTGGCGTCGTCATATAGTTGTTGAATGAGGCTGATAAAGTTTTGTGGTATTCCGTAGTATTGAAGCAGTTTCCGAATCACTTGTCAGTCGACGCTGTCGAAGGCCTTTTCAAAGTGGATGAAGTTGAGGTAGAGAGTTGACTGCCATTCTATACTCTGTTCTATGATGATACGAAGCGTAGCAATTTGGTCCGCACATAATTTGTACTTCCTGAATCCAGCCAGTCTGTTCCGGTCGTAGTTTTGAATCTAGCGCATCCTTTAGCCCCTCCAGAATGATGGGGCTTAATATTTTGCTTGCTTTGGGTGGACGGGAGTGTGATTCCGCACCAGTTTTTACAAACACTGAGGTCTCCCTTCTTCGGGGGTTTGACAAGGTAACCCTTCTTCCAATCAATGGGCAGGTACCTTCTCTTCCTTCCACACCTTCTGCAATAGTGGTGTGGTGTGAGCATGTGCGCTGTTGTCTCTGCATCTGTTTTCAGTGCTTCTGGCGGGATCCCGTCTGGTCGTATGACCTATGGACCTATGACCAAATAAGCCACAGGTATAATTAATTCCTTATAAAATAAATGAAATAAGGCTACTGATTACACTTGTCTGAGACTTATGCTTTCCATTTCTCCGTAGAGATAACACAAGGGTACGTAATTTCCTGTTAGTTGTAAAATCTTTATTATTAGGCTGTTAACACTAAGACCCACACGTACAGAAAAGGCAAATGTAGACGGATTATTGATGACTTCTAATAAAAACATGAGAATAGGTAAAATACAATTGGCAATGTAAGGCATACTTTAAAGAACTAAAACATTTGCTATTATTAATGTGCTGACTAAGTTGATAAAAACACTTCTGATTCTTATGAGAAATTATAGCTTCTGAATCCAATTGAGTGCAATACGATGATGGACAAAAGGTCTGAAGACCAACACTTCACGCTGTTATGAATGAACTTTTAAATACCAGCCATTGTAAATAAGATCAAACTAGTTCGCTGTGCTTGGGGTTCAGAAGTTTTAGTTTGGTATCTTTAGAAAACATTACAGTAATATTGTGCATTTGTCTTGTGCTACTTGATTTTCCTCAGTTTAAAAAAGTAACTCCAATCTTTGGTGAAAAACACCATAGATTTGAACTAAATCAGTAATGCGTATGAATCTTGAGTTAATTTTATAACCTAACTTTACATTTAAGTTGATTAAAAGCTTATAAATAGATACAGCAACACAGAATCCGATGCAAAAAAACTGCGCAGAGGGGAAATGAGGGCAAGATGTTAGTTGAAAGGGGACCAACAAGTGCGAAATGATAGTATTCAGAATTACAGAGGAAATAAACAAACAGTGAACGCAAATGGATGCAACCTTCATCACCGATAAGATATCCTACTAACAACTGTATTACAAGATGGTTCACTCTGTCCAACTCTACCTGTGGGACACGTAACTGTTAAAGGTGAAGGACTTAGGAGAGACTCAGGTGTTCGATCACCGCTGATTTAGGCATGTTTACCGTGTGTTAGGATTTAATAATAAGTAGTAAACTTTTATGAAGGGAGATGGTGGGGATATGTGCTACGCATGCCTAATTGCAATCTTCTAATTATGGCAGGTGAAGTAGGTTTAGGTGGGCAGACTAAACCACAGCATCATTTTATGAAGTCGCTGACTGTTGTTCTAATTCGTGTAGGGAAACGTAGACTTCTGTATTTAAGTTCAAGTGCTGATTGAAATAAATGATTAGTAATATGGCTCAAAATCTATCACCATAGTGAAGATATATCCACAAATAATCATTTTATATAAAATTACGTTAAGTGATTTACTCAATCGCCCTCGCTTCCTATGACTTTCTGAGACACCTCACTTCACCACATATATTTATTTCATCTTTTTATCTGGTATTTTGACGTGCCTGTGTGAGGTGCAGCACCTTGAACCACTAAGTAGTAATGCTGGGTTCCATAACGCTACTGACTCGATTAATGCTGATGACTTTGAGAAATGTCATTCATTGTCTCTTACTAATGGTTCCCAATGTATTGAAGATGTCGTATTGTGTGACCTTATTTCTCCACATAGTGATCAACACCCAGTGAATTTATGTAGTTCTTTAGTCTAGTTAACACCAGTTGGTGTGAATTAATATCAATACCTTTGAGTTGATCTCCTTAAACTCTTCATGCTATTCATCTTCAACCGTCCGTTTACACTGGATTACAGCTGAAAAAATAGTACTCACATAGTAACTCACCTTTGAATAATAATTCACGTAACGCACGTGTTATAGATGACTAAGATTGGCAGATGTCTAGTCAGCACTTTATATTCGAGTTAAGGGCCTTTCATCTACTAGCATACCGAATAATTGTTATGATGATTACCCTCTGGAGACGAATTTGTGTTTATAGTCCAGTTTTCAGGGTTTCTATCGCAGCCTGAATGGCTTGGTGACAGAATCTTTAACTCCAATGATGGATGCGACAAGACCTAATCATCAATACGCCTTGCTGATGAGAGTCAGCAAACATAAAGCCTAGTTTGAACGCTTCTTGTTGATTGACTCCTTCCACTCAAAACTCAAATACAATGCATCAGTGTCAAGTAGCTTACTGGTTGTAGTGAAAACTCGGTTAGCTTCGAGCACTACGGAGTCGTTAGCTACCTCATTTACTATGTGTTGACCATTTCACTTACTGTAAATAAATTACTTATCGATATAGTATGGTCCTGGAATACTGTCTTGTACTCGGTATGTAATTAAAAATGTGGAATATTTATATCTCAAAACATGGAAGTATTTTACAAGCTGTTGCTCAGCTTTTAATGTCATTCTTATCATCTTTGGCGTGAATTGAGAAATTGTTTAAAGTGCCTATCACACTTTCTATGATTTTCATATTATACTTTTTGTTCACTCTAAGCAGATCAGATGATATCCAGTAGATCATTCAAGCCTTGCAAAATCTTCATTGTTATAATGACTACCAATATAATAGTCAACAGGCTTCTCACAATATCTACTACACAATTACTTAAGGACAATAACGTTCGTAATAATGACATCTATTTTTATTGCAGCGTGCAATGAGAATTTTCAGATCCTTCGAAAAGCCTGAAACCCCTGGAGTTTTTCATAACTAATCATTGTACTCCAAAGTTTACAGAAAAGATACATTATCATGAGAGTAAATATCAGATTAGTCTAAGAGGTAAAATCACTGGGGAATGCCCATCTAGGCCACCCTAACAACTGCAGAGATAGTCAATCACGTTTTCTTATTTCATGAACAACTACCATCCCAGCCAAAACGCTAAAAGCTGATTAGTTGTTCCAGCAGTTGCTAGGGTGACCTTTAGGGACGCTGCTTTCTAGAAAGCTATGAAGTAGCCAACGTTACTGTAAACATATATAAAGTGATGCATGTCTAACATATTTTGACGTTGCGATACACCTTCCGTTATCTTACTATCCTTTCTATTTAACGAGGAAATAAGCAGTAACCAAGGTTGTAATCTGAAGGTTATCATTAAAGTATCCACACGTATAGAATCAGATTAAAACAAACTTTTATTAAGAAACCTTTTAAGTGAAATCATAATATGTGAAGTCTCAACACAGAACATGATGGCATGGAAAGCAACGAAATTGAGCGCGGCTGGTGAGTTTGAATCAAAGGTGAGACAGCTACGTAGAACCAGTAAACTGTTAAATAGATCGTTGATTGAAATCATTATTCAGTAAAATTTATATTTAAAAATATTTCTTACTAACATGAAACTACTCAGTGTCTGTATAATTTGATAATGGACGATAATAAAAGAAATGAAGTCCAGATGCATCCGGCATTCAAAATAACCTTCAACCTATTGAACTCTTTTAATAGCTTGGTGGATAAAGCACAAAGTAACAATAAATTTCTGTTGGTGCTATACATTTTAAAGCTTTATAAATATCTCTGATTTCAATATGATGCTGATAATTGTGAAAAATATATTTACAAAATGTTTTCTTCCCTTGCATATTCTAGACCTGGTTTCATTCCGGTTCCCGTAGATGGAATGAAATATATTGCTCCAGAACTTTTGGTCTCGGTAGAAGAAGAAATTGTCAAGTTGTGCGGACAAAATTGTAAATCTACAGACTATTTGCGCGGTACCTCAGAGACAGCAGTGCACACAAACAATGATGATCTTAGTACAACTGGTTTTCATTCAAATAGATATAGACGGCTGACTAAGAAACCTATTTTAGGCTATATTAGGAAATTATCCTATTCTTCAGAATTGCAGGTGACTGACAATGATATTCGACGTTGTGGATCATTCAAATCATGGCCTAATCTGATGGCGATAGCTAACAATCCTCACTCATTATCTAAACAAATCACCAGAAAATATGCATCATTTTGTAATCTATCTAATTCTTTCCAAACATTTGATGATGCCATTAAATTACCATACAAATCAGTTAAGTACATCTCACTTCGCAAAACCAGCTTCATTAAAACTATTCGACAATTTTGTTCAAGTTCAGAAAAACAAAAAGTTGTTGTGAAGACTCTTTACGTTCCAGTAACTGAATTTACAACATTTACTGATGTATTTGCATTTGGGTAAGACTAATTAAAAAGATAAAACTGTATATATTTGCAGTGGGTAGGAAGGTTTCATGAATAATAACACCGTCGTACTCTGAGCACAACTGGAGGAATCGCTGAAGACCACAGAGACTTAACAAGTGCATTATCCTAATTTGAGACTTACAGTCAGTGCATACGCTTAACTTCTTACGGTATGGAAATTACAACCGAAATGTAGCAAACCAGTATGTAACACCTGTCTTGCGCTCTCTGGTTTTTTAAGTTACAAACCTGAATGACATCTATCTTCAATTAAAACTGTTTTCATTTTTTAAATAACAGACTGCATAATTAGTAACAAAGCATAACTATGTACCGCTGGTGATGGATTTAAAAACAAGCATTCACTTACACCTAGCCACTCCGTAATAGCACATAAAATGTCTGAAAAAGGGTAAATTAAACTTATGCTCCAAGACAGACTTTATACGAAAGTTTTACAAGGGGTCGATTGAAGTCAAAGCAGTTTTCTTTATGATTCAATATCGGGGAAAGAACCCCTAGAAATTAAGGAGTACTAAGATCAAATTAAAGGTTGACGGGTCCTTTGATGAGCATATTGCAATTCAGTCAGTGGGTTGGAATCCAATGAACCACGTTTTCCAATTTAAATGGATTGATACTTCATATGATTGATAAAATTATCAAGAAACCCGTTATTTTCATTTCCTTTAGCCAGAGTTGCATTATGCTAATCGGTCTTGAAGGGTAACCAGTATACAGCCGACGAACTGATCTAGTATGATGGAGGATTAATGGTAATCCATATAGTTCATAAGTGTGGTCTTTGATTGTAACTCTAAGCAATGATACTAAGAATCTTTGAGGTAACAAAGGGTTTCTTCGAAATTGAAGAAACTCTGCTAACGCATGTCTGCATACACGATACCTAAATCTGCTGCCCACCTGTAAATTGATAATCACCAACCAGAACCAAAGGAAGTTGAATTGGTTATTATAACATATACGTTGTGGGGAACATGATGTTGAAATGATAAAATTCAAGTAATGAAACTCTAAACACTCATGGTATAATAATTAGTGAAACTGCAAAGCTGCTGCATGAACGAGATGTAAATAAGTTCATAATTTAGATACCCATACCTCCACACGGATAATAAATATGATCAGTTAGAATAGTTCTACTTGGTAGTCAACGAGTTCTTACTGGCAAGTATGAGGCTGCATTCCTGTTCGCTGTGATGTCAAATAATATGTGCACATCGAATAACCGCACAAATTCTTGAGGTACACGAACTACAGGAATCCCTCTCACTTTGCAGATTCGTAGGTACCTATCAATATAGTAAAGACGAATAGTGGCTAGCAGTGGAATCCAGGATGTGCATTTCATCCTACTTGGGACTTGTCAGTTGGATGTACTTGCTTCCCAGTGAGTGGTGTTGTTCCAACTGGGATTCGGACTCGGGAGCGATTGCTTCAAATGCCATAGCGCTATCCACTGAACCACCGAGCCACGATAGCTACTTCTTGTGCAATAATAATAAAACTATACTCACTCCACAAGAAGTGGCTATTGTGGCTCGGTGGTGCAGTGGATAACGCTATGGCATTTGAAGCGATCGCTCCCGAGTCCGAATCCCAGTTGGAACAACATCACTCACTGGGAGGCAAGTACATCCAGCTGACAAGCCTCAAATAGGACGAAATGCCCGTCCTGGATTCTACTGCTAGCCACTATCCATCTTTACTGTAACCAGAACGCAGGTATATCGAGGCATCCATATGCCAACAGAGACCGATCGATTCGGTCCAATCAACGACGATATAATACAAGCAATAACACTTATCAATACAGTTGGATTGGTACTAAGTACTTACGACAACACATTTACACTGCTTGCCAAATAGTGACGAAATTTACAGAAAGCCGGTCATGATCGGAACAGCCCAGTGGTGAAATTTTTGACTTTAGCATTGAGTGGTGCAGGTTCGAGTCACCAAGCCAACATCAGTTTCCTCATGATTGCAGATAAGCTTTGCTAATTAGCATGAAACCTAGATCCAGAACTTCCGGTCGATTACTTCTCAACAACAAACAGTAGAGTTCATTGCACAACAGTGTCGTGTCACTTTGCTTAGTGGTCAAATTGCAAAAAGTGGTCGATAGATCGCGTCAATGTCAAGCATTAAGAACCAGACAGCGGAATTGGTTACGTTCTAGTAACCAGTTCGCGTAATAAGATTTGATCCGAAAGGTATCGAAAAGTAGCCCAGGTAAGCGTTGGAAACCTACTACACGCATTGAAGTTTAAGTACTATCACTTATCCCCACACAGTAGATGCAGATTGCTTTCGCAAGCTGCAACAGTATTAAAGCTGACTCACCGGGAACTAGTTCATGATGCAAGTCACTAAGTCCAATGTATATTGAAAAAGAATAGAATATCTGAAGCACTATACTAAACAATATATATTTACTTCTTTAAAACGGAGAGTATAAAATGATTTTAGTGACCCTAATTCCAGTTAGTCAAGTAGAACAAAGCAATTAGAACTCAACAAAGGGAAAGAAAAGCAGAGGCAGGCTAAAGAAAACATATTCATTGTCAAAAAACAACGGACTTGTTCCTACCACACCATAAAATCTTTAGTGTTGGGATAGATAAAATGAAACGCACTCAGCAAACTTGCGCATAATAGTGTTGTGAGGCAGACCTATTGCGTGAGGGCTAATGATACTATTTGGAAGCCCACACTTAGGTAGGTGTAGCGCTGTTCAAACTGGTGACTCTATTGGTTGAGGGTCAACTCAATAAACCAATGAGCTACACCTCCACACATTGATGCGAAAACTAAAGTCCATGTAGTCAAGAGGAATGATTTCAACTGACAAACATCTTTTTTAATAATCCCAGTAGTCATTACTTCTAGAAATACTCATAAGGTACATTTTAACTTGTTTGTGGTGATGTAGGCGATTGAGATCCAAAGCTAAACACACGAAAACGTAGGACTGGGAAGCATTAACTCTACCCACAATACTAGCCAAAAATATCTCTTAGCATATTAAGATTTTACTGCACTTATCAGAGTAATTTAAACGTAGCAAATTTTTGAATGGTTTGTAGAGTAATCCATCATTTGAATCCTGCTTTCTTTTCACTTTTCAAACCCTATTTATTAAATTAGGGCTTAAGCGCATGTCTTTTGATCACAACAACGAACACCGTAGCCACAAAATCATGTCAGTAATCCTCGTGGACGTACGTCAGCAAGAAGACTAGAGTACTGTACAGCTGTTCTGTCCTGATTTCAGACTCAGCTGACATCGATCCGTGATGGAAATTGCTTTGAAATTAATTGGTTCTCGATGCACCTCCCAAATAGGTAAAAAGTATTAATTTCTTCGTCATTGTTGAAATCCCATTGTAGAACCATCATATTTGAACTGAATACCCGATGTTTTCCATTTGAAGACCTCGATGTATGCGAGTACATTCAACGTCTGCGAGCTGGTCAAAGAGATGATGGTAGTGCATACTGTATACCAAATTATCTAAAAGTAAGTCAAAAATAACAGTAAGAAATACCATGATGGATGTGTATTTCAAAAAAATCATTCTCGATAAATGTTTACGGATTCATGTATGAACAGACAGGTAAACATTATTATAACAGAATCTAGTGCAACTGTTTAACATTACATGTTGCTATATTTAACATTGCAATTTAGATGAAAATGTGGGAATGTGTTTACTGTACAGCCACATATCTTGAATCGTACAATTGATCGATTGTGGTTGATTTAGGGATTGCAACCAAGTTTATTACACTTTCCCACGCGGCTTAGAAAAAGTCAAAGATTTAATTGGTCGGTGATTTATCTTCATCTAGCCACCCTCAAGTTTTTCCATCCTAGTTCTATTATAGATAGTATAACGCGCTGGATAAAGGTGGTAGGAATGGCTCACACATCCCTATATTCAATCACTCGATAGATGCTGACAGATAGGATATCCGACAACGGTATAGGATACCTGGACTAGCTTCAAGAATATGATTTCGGTGGTTCTACTCAATGCTCGTTGATATGACCATAAGAAAAGATCCTGTTACTTTTGTAAGATATTAAATGGACACATATTTAACTTACAATTTACCTACTTCTAACCAAGTGGTCAAATATTTATAAGCTTATATCAACAACAACTGAAATATTCCACACGATAGAAATCCTAGGTTAACTATCTAATGTCCCTCGTTTAACAAAAGTGAATTAAAATATAGTTCAAAAAAATTAAACTTATATGAGAATGACAAAACTGAAGACACGCAAAAATCTACGGGAACAGCTCTACTGAGGATTATATCAAGCTACATTAAATAAATTAGAAGTATCAAAAAGGAAAAGTTAGTTTTTATATGAAAGGCAGGAAACCGTCGAATATGAGGTTCAACTGACATGATCCTTATGATGCAGTTTCTGCATTACAGTCATATTAGATGGAATAATAGTTAACTCAGACTTCGAATAATTATCTCAACTACCATTCAAGTTATCCTTATTTTGATCATACGAACATCATCCATTTAGGATCTCGCTACTTAATCCAAAGAAGAAACATTCGGTAACAGCTTTTATTGGTCAAATAGCTCCATTTATGGTGTAAAACTGTCTGGAAATAACTGATTATTTTAATCTAACCTAACTCTAGTTTCTTCAAATTGTTTTTATCCACTGACTTTTAAAACAATTGAGCGATACACTGAATATTTCCTGATTATAACAATAACAGATTACCATTCGAATCATACACTGAACTCACAGAGCAGTTGAGAGATCACTCAGCCAATATGAGAATTACGAAAGTTAGTCGCAGTCTACTATCCGGCTACTTTATTGCAGTAATGTTTCCAACTATAAAAAATAGACAATTTAAGACCTTGGATGATACTTGTGGTGATTGCATTTCACAGGAAACATCTATTCAAGGGATGAATGTAGCTGAACCAAAAGATTAATTTTAAGGCATGATTCATACTCGTGGCAACGAGGTTTGCCAGCCAACAGCTGTACAGACTGAGCTACCACGACAACCAACTGCTAATCAGATCTCACTTACCGAGGTTATTGTCTTAACGGTTATACAAATGAGTAGTACTCAAATTTCCTCTCATCATAATCACACTGGTCGACTGAATAAGTCTTCGCACCAAAACTCAGGTAGAACCTAATGAGTGATTGCTCAACTGCTGATAAGAATACCTGACCCGAATTATGATCTAAATTTCGATTGTCACCCACGTACATTGAAACCATTACACCAGACTACGATTACTTTCAGTAATTCTTTTGAAAATGTCATCTATATTTTTCTATCTTTCCAAGCAGACAAATTAGAAACACTTATTTGAATATTTTGTTTACAATGTGCAGATTCTGATGCTTAACTGTTGGTCGGGTAATCCAACAAGAAGACCGCCGATGAGTCTTAGTACGGAGGAATTAATAAAGAGCGTGAGTCTAATGTTAATTCATCAACTTAGATATCGAAAGAATTATTGAAAATAAGAACATTCAAAAATATATGGTGATACTCTTAAACGGGTTCATGAATTCAATTTATTTCAGCCTATAAACATAAGAACAATTATTTAAACGACTGTTTTTTTAGAGAATAAATTGTTCGCAAAATTGTTTCGATCATCAACAGATTCACTGGGAATAATAAAGTTATTTCATCCTAACAGAAGACTCTGCAAACCGAACAACTGAATAACAATTGCAGACGCATTAGTGACTTACCCCGTGATGAATTTCCTATGGTTCTATTGGGAAGCCATGGACCCAATCGCATCAAGCGTGAAAAAGGACACTTGCCAATGACGATAGGCTCGGGGTTTTCTGAATATTTGTATTGCGGATATTTCATCAACAGACGTGGTGTGTAACTTTATAAGGAGATGCAGCATATTCAAACGCTACACGATCTTATAAGTGGTGGGTGAAGACCGATGAAAATTTTCAAACTAGGACAAAATAGTCGCCACAATTTCATTAAACCTACGGATGATATCAACACGTTATGAAATCTTTTGAATAAGCTATGGGGAATAACTCACTTTTGTCTTATTTATTTGTACTCATAAAATGCCTAGACTTTCCGGTGTGACGATTAAGAACATGCTATCCAGAATGTCTAGAACAACAATTATTAATTCTACAGGAACAAATTCCACCAAGAAATATACCTACAACGTTACCCATCGTTGGTTGAGATGTCTATTAGATACATTTACATATTTCCATTAATAATGAGACTTATTTCAATGATTCTTGGGAATTTTACGGCACTAACTAAGAGTTACATGTAATATAGTGAAGATCTAGCAGGTACACGTTTATCAACTTGGCCATGAGCCATGCTACTTTGCGAGAGCGTGTGATACTACATGCGTGTGCAAGTCAAGCTAGATTCGTGCGCTTACCCATATGACAGTTGCGTGAGTCCATTCCGATAAAATACTTTTAATTGAATACATCGTCTTATCATTCATATACTTGCAACTTTTTGAGAATATTGAGGAAATTCTAGTTCAATAGCGTACGATCAGTTTACACTACTGTTAATTATTCAGGCAAAATGTAGACAATTTTTATCAACGTGCTGATGTGTTAGGTGAGGTGTAATAAACGCATGTCCTCCAGAAGAGCCACAGTTCATTGGTTAAGGCCTTCGACTTAACCGATGGGTCATAGATTCGAAACCAACCCCACCTACTGAAGTTTCGGCAACCAGGTATTATCATGAGACCTCACACAATAGGTGTGGCTCAATGCTTATTGCATGGAAGTGCACTTGGTAACTAGGTGCATTTCGATATTCCGCGCACTTCAGTTACACTACGCATATTTTCAAACCAATAAAATGAATTTTTGTGACCAATTACTGTCCCAACTGAAAATAAAAGAATGTTAGTTGTAAACATAAATTTATTTAGAAGTTACTGGAAAAATCCCGGGAAGAGATCTCAGAAAGGTTTGTTAGATCAACAAATATTGAATGCCAAAATAATTCAAGAATCAGAGGATCCATAGTGCTACAATTCGCAAGGAATTCATCGCTTATGGACTACATCACTTCTGAAGTCAATGATAAACCATCCTACCTCTGGAAAAATATGTCTAGAGCGGGAACAAATAAACACTACAATAACGTATGCCTAATGCCGAACTTAAGATTGTTTTTTATTACAACATTTAAACGTAATTAACTACTCTTCAAGCGTAACTTAAGATGCTAAATTAGTATATGTTTATACAAAATGCATATAAACTTTTATGCACGTTACTCTAAACACTACATATATTACTAACGTAAGTTACAACCTTAGCAACCCAAAGAACAATTGAATTGCTTCATCAAGAAATTCTGTCATTCGCTTCACACCACCTATCGACTCCTATTTCACTTAGAGATTGGTATGCAGTTATAGCAAATTGAAGATATAAAACTTTTAGATAAAGCGAGATATGTTGAAATAAAAGACGACAATTTCTGCCGTGACATGTTACAGATATCACCTAAAAAGACTAAGTACTACCCAAACAAATATTCTGAGCAACACTGTTACAGTTTAACTGAGGTTACAATTCAACGGAGTGATAAAATTTCCTATATTATCTTGTTCATCAGTTGTCTCAGTCCCCTAGATGATCTGCAAGGATATCAGTTTCCTGATATAAGTCTGCAGCTGCTTATGAACGTTCATACAGGTGGACCGCTTATGACTTGCTCTGATACACATGTAACGAGAACAATGTTTTTTTTACCGTTTCAGCATATCGTATACAAACGGCAGAACTCTGACCCAGTTCCCAAAAGGTCTATAAGATACCCTATTAATGGATTTTGAACCATCCAAAATATAATAACGAGGATTATACTTGGAAGAATAAAAACGATACTTATTATCCGAAATAGGAACAACTGATTTTATGCCTTCGTTTTTATTTATCTTATTTTTAAATATATAGCTATAAAACGTAATCAATTTCATTTTCTCACTCTATGGTTTTAACTAAAAACGATTTAACAGAAATTGGTCAGTACAATCTACAGAATACGAGTTAGGGTTCAGTCACATACTCCAATAGTAAATACAAAGCAAAACAGTTTTAAAAAGCAGTCTGCCTGCTTGAAAAAGAAACATATGAAGTAATATACACATACACATCACAGTGGTAGCACATTACTCAGACTGTTCAAGACAAATAAAATAAGATGGTTATAACTGATATTTTTATTCGCTTCACTAAAGCATCCAGTGACCGATATACCAGAAGTGTAGGATATTTACATGATTCGCCTAGATAGATAAAAAGGTAGATGAAGTACAACGTAACGGAGGAAATCAACCAGTTACAGAAGATTCAGGTTCATGGAAATAAGCTGAACTGATGTACTTTATACTGAATCACTTCAAGTACTTATAAGAATGTCTAACAAGCTGCAACGGAAATGAAAGCGGTGAGTTATTCAAACACCGAGCATTGAATAAATATCTCGATCATCATCTCTACCGGAACGACGTCGACCAGAGAATGGTGGTTCATCCACATTTGTTTGATTTAAATTAGGACGTGGGAAGTTAGGATGAGTTAGTGCTGTTTGATAATGACGTCTGGGATGTACACGATACTGATGGCCACCTCGTGGATGGTTAACAAACGGTCGTCTGGGATATGAGTTCCGTGGGGGGCGAGTAAATCCGGCACTGTACTCAGAAATGTGCGTACCAGGGTCACTCGCGGATGCATTCAGTTTTTGTTGCTGAAAATCTTTAGATGGTATTTCAGACAGATGATTTGTGGTGACGACAACAGCATCAGAGCCAGATCGGTGACGCGAGGAGCTTGCGGCGAAATATTGAGTTTGTGCATTCAAAATGCCAGAGCTCTTTTGATCATTAATAGTAGGTTCCATGTGTTTTGATTCACTACTAATTCTCCTGTTATCAGAATGATCGCTTTGAGACGACATTCTTAACTCGCGCTGTAAAGATAAGGAAGTCAGTTGATCGGACGTACTTGAATGCAACGGGTTTTGCGGTCTGTGAGTGAAGAGTACACGCTGAGATATTGGAAGAGGAGGTGGCGGAGGAGGTGGCGAACCTATAGGGTTAGTTGTTGGGTTTTGTACTTTAGGTCTGGCGTCTGTAAATGCTTCTGGAGTGTTGGAGGTTGCAATATTACTCTTGCGCATGGCCAGATTATACAAGCGCGCAATTCGTGTATCAAGGTCTTCGCCAGATGAACTTACAATAGATATTTCACCATGAGAGTTATCGTTAACAGGAGACTGCTGAGTCTTTATCTTATCTGAATTTGCGTCACTATGAGATGACTGATGAGAAGAGTGATGGTGCTTGTAGATGAATCTTTGAGAAGTACTATCTCTACTGGCTTCATCTTCTGAACTAAGAGCAGAAGTAAGATAACGTTGATAGTGCTCTAAGGGGTGTGGGAGCGCGTGTGGACTCCGTCCTCGATGGGGTGGCGTTCGAGTTTCTCGTGCTAAAATGTTGCTATTTGATGGATCATGAATTTTCCGACTATCAGAGTCTGGGTGCAAATTTTTAGAAGATTGAAGAATTTCTGAGACAACTCCATTCTTTATAATTTGATGCGATTGATTAACTTCTTTCGTAACGTTAGAACACATATCAAGAGAAGTGATAAGTTCATGAGTTTGTTCAAGATCGCAGCGAGTTGGAATATACGGTCTGTAAGGTGGAGGTGGGTGTTCTGAAGGGTGAAGTGAATGTGGGATATAAGCACGCGAAGAAGACTGAGGTGGTGTTGTCTCTACATTTGTTCGAAGATGTGAATGAGATGGGAAGAATAGTTCGTTATTAAAGGATTATGATTGACGGAGGTACTTGGCATTTGTACATTTGCGAAAACAGGATAAGGATACAGCTTATTATTATTAACCACAGACTGCGGAGGAAACGAACCAAAGTACGCCATTTGTGGCACGCAATTGGTGTTTAGCATAGGTGTAATGACGAAGTTGGCTTGAGCAGACGTTGACTGAGATACATCCTTATTTCTCAAAAAGCTTTCAGGCTCAGAAGAAAATTGAAGGGAAGGAAACCTACATTCAGCTGGTTGGGCAACATTTATTTCTTGTGGTTCTTCATATTCATCTAAAAGTTCAAACTCACCATCAATATCCTCAGGTACCAGAAGCTCAGAAAAGTCCTTGGTTTTCTCAGTTATAGGACTGGAAGGATCGGTGGTTTTCTTTGGTTGAGTTAGATTAACAGGTGCTTCTTCGGGAAGTGGAATATCCTGAAGAGAAACACCCAATTGATCACCTACATTCGAAGATGAATGCAGTAGAGGGGATTGTGACTTAAACATAGAAGAGACGATAGTTTCAGTAGCAGAATTAGACGGGACACAAGAAGTAGTAATCGTATTTGTAGGTCTCTCACATCGTTCGAAAGCTTGAGATGAATTCGGAGTTGCATCAACTGAAGATGGTGACTGTAAAGTTTCTGGATTGTTTTTGGTTGTGTCATGATGAATTACTTTACTGTCATGTACATCTTTCGTAGGACGAATTGTCAACTGAAATAAATCAGCCATTGATTTAGGTCCAGTATATGGAGGAAGAGAAGTGATGGATGCTGACACAGAGCCTCCTGGTGAATCAACTTTATGTAACATAGCAGAATGCTTTCTCATGTGGCGCTGTTGATGTTTGACTAATTCAGCATGAGCTAAATCCAGCTAAACATAAAAGAAAAGTGATAGATATCGATCAAATAACTGATTGATATCATCGCATACAAAGAATAGTGAATGTAAATGTTCCGAAATATATAAAAGTGCAAGGATACCTAGTACGCATCTATTTGCGCACCATCATTTCTTTAAAATAGGATGATAATTTAATGCCTTATTCATGGTTGTTGCACAGCACCGGGTTTAGATAAAAAATAACGTAGCTCATCTAACTAGGTTAAGGTACATTTATTGTGCGACGGGCTTTCGATACTACCCGGTTGTTCAGACCAAAGCAGATGGAATGACATTTTAATCGAATGCATAGACCAAAGAGGCACAGCAGTTTTAAACCCAGTAGTAACCTTCGTTCATTTATTTTTTTAAAGTTAGTCAAACTGTCTCACTTTTGTAAGTGACTTACAGTACAGTACATATGAGTAAATGACTTCACCTTGTTCTTATTACTGTTCTGATCAAGACAAGTGTCTTCAATGTGACCGACGGCCATGCAGAGACGGGGAAAATTAACAACATTGATAAAGATAACAATTGGTACAACAGAAGGGCGCTGAGAGAAGACAATAATCATACTCATGAAAATAGCAGAGGAAATATCAAAACAACAGAATGTAAGTTATTAAAAAAACAGAAAGTAAAGCAAATATATCACTGCTCTGTCTATTTCTTGGGGTAAAAGAAAGGATCAAAGCGTTTGAACCATTGCAATCAATTAACGTAATCAAGTAGTATGAACTCAATCAAAACAGGAAAGAAAGTAAAATGATGAAGAGAACAACAGCGAGAGTAAGGCAGAAAAATGACTTAAGAAAACAAAGGCGGATTGGTAGTAGACGAATATTCAACGATAGGGTTTTCAAAATTTGGAAGAATGTTATTGATCTGCAAGTAGAATCATTGCATGAGTAAATCTTCAGATACCATGTGGGTGTTTATCAATACCTTACGGCTTTGAACCATGAAACAACCAGTAACGAAGAGAAATTACCTTTTTCTATTCGTAAATGGTCACCCTATTAACATTGTATGGTATGAAACAATGCGAATAACCCTGACTAACTTTGAGCAACGTCACCTAATGTGTTTATCGCTTCAAGTTACCACAACACACAACAGCATGCAAAAACCAGTGGGTAGAAAAAGTGATATTGAAGTACACAACAGTGTGTGGGAGGAGAGAGGGTTTAAAAATAAAGGTTTAGGAAAATGTTTGGGCTTTCGAAGATGTCAAATATTTGATGCGACTACGACTTTGTGATCGATTTTCAACCATATCATCAAGAGTTTCCCATCTTTGATTCCTTTTATCCTGGTGATGCCAACCAGGTAGTCCATATCTTTCTATATGGCCCAGGCGAATAGTCATTGACTTCATAGATTTATAACACGTCTTGAACTGGAAACCCTTGGCCTTCTTCAAACCTAATACTACTTGGAGGTGAACGGTGACACGGCATGCGTAACACATATCTAAGCCACGTCGGTCTCAGACGCAGGGTAGTAATTCATAATAAAAGTGAGACTGCTTTTCGTTTTACCACTATCCAACAAACTTCTTTGGGATGGTAGGACTTCAAGCAACAAGCATTCCGGCTAATGTAGCTCATTGTGATATGCAACCACGACCATTTCATCGTAGTAGCAGGTTTCGGTCGGCTGGGATCCTCAAGGTAATAGAAATCAACGGTGTGAAACTTCGTGATATGGTTGAAATTCGGTCACAAAGTCGTAGTTGCATTCAATATTTGACATCATAGAAAGCTTGAACATTTTCCTAAACCTTTAGTTTTAAATCCTCTCTCCTTCCACACTGTTGTATACTTCAATATCACTTTTTTCTACCCAATGGTTTTCGAGTGCTGCTGTGTGTTGTGGTAACTTGAAGTGATGAACTTCTGTGTTAGGTTCTAAGCTGATTTATTTGTATTTCAACTTTCCCACTTAACCAACATATGACTACTAACTTCAACGAATATACCTGTTCATTTTGCAGAAAGATAGAGTTTCGAACAACATACATTCCTCACTTCGTCCCCAACTCATTTAGTGGATGTATGGACGGAAATAAGCAATAGCCTGTCATACCCGTCTAAGAAATATTGAAATCATAGGACTTGATATATACGAAGATTTTACAGATGACACGGAGAAAATTAAGTAATTGACAGATATGTAGATTTGTATACATACTATTTAAAAAGACCAAGTCTAAGTGGCGAATTTCTAAAAGCTGCAAGAAACATTATTAAATAAAACTGATTAAAGCATATCCCGTTGAGAATATACATCTTTCTCGGAGAAACTACGTTCCACGTTCTGGAGTGTTAGTTAAAATACAGAAAATTCTCAGTAATTAGAAAGCACTCCATGATGAAATTTTTGAGGATCTAATTTGAATCAGAGTTCGAACGACAACTTAAGGAATGAAATGAATAAAAGAAAATGGTATCGCCAGTATCAACAGACTGAGCATACACACGAACAAAAAAAGCCATAAAAGAAGTAAACTAAACTATATGCAGTTGCAGACAGCAATAAAATTATTTTTTTTAGTTGAGCTTTACTGGTAGTGATAAGTGGCAATATCACCCTTATAAAAAAACGGGTGCAAAAAGTTATAGTGCGAACGTACAATATTATTAATGTGAATGGATGAACATAACTACGAAAAAACCTACTTCATTTTTATCTGCAGTAGCATAGAGTTGTAGAAATTTATTAAAAACCTTCTGTGCTGCAATTTTAACCTCCAGAGAACGTTTATATCGACGACACTAACATGAAATGAGAATATCAAAATCAAAGTTGTTTTTCTACCAAAACATAACTGAAAAAACAAAATTATGTGTACATGTACATAATAAACTTTTTAATAAGCCCCGTCTTGAGGAATGGGACACTGAAATGCATGTTGAATGAAATTCCATCTACTGGAAGCAGCAGACACTTTCTATCTGCCCACGACACGGAAAGCTATTGCTATCTGAAAGAGAGGAAGATTTGTGAGACTGCAGAGCCTGTAGGACATCTGCTTAGAGGCTATCACAAACAACCTTTCTCGGATTGCTGTTTTGAGATTTGGCTATTCTAACGCCTGGTGGAAGGAACCTATACCACCGACACCAAAAGACCGTAGGGCGAGGGGGATGTACTATTTTTGAGGCTAATCTTTTCTAACCACTCCCGCATTTAAATGGGTTTTTTTTACTCTAGATACTGAATAGGATTTTGGTTGATGCTGAGGCTGAAGCTCCTTGGTTAGGATAATCATCTTTCCATCAGCTGGTCATGGATATGAAACCCATTTTATATATTGAGGTTCGGATGACACGGTAGCATTCACACAACAAGTATGCTTCACTACTTACCGTACGAAAATGAACGTAGTTACTGACTTGCGTCGCACTGCGCTGCAGAAACAAAGTACTAAGGAGGAGACCTCTGAGGAAACATATGCATAAGTTCGAGAAATTTCGTGTATTTTGTACTACTACATTTTATCATAAATGTGTGCACTGCACACTTCTCAATATTTTTATCTGCTTTTACTATTAAAACTGTGTGTACCATCTTCGTTAGCAACTTTGGCTTCAAAAATGATATTCCAGGCTTTCTTAAACCACATTCACGAATTTCGCGTCGCAGGTTTTAAAATTTCACACTTTTTAGACTGGCTGACAAACCTCATTAACCGAAATCCTAATATTCAGGAGTATTGGTGCGCAATGCTTCTCTGTGGTACTGATGGAAGATCCAAGAATGACGACTATGTAAATGCATATCTTGTGACTCAATAGTCATTCCTAATGTGTGACTCTGACCTCTCAGGTCATAGACGTGTGCTGCGTTTGCGACACGTGCGAACAGGACCTGAATGCGATCATTCTGCTGGCCTCACTTAGCTAATAACGTGAATCTGCGAAATTCACCCTTCGATGTTTGAGAAATTCGATGGCTAGTTTTTGCGGTCTTGTAAGTATGGGTACAGAATCTGTTCTTAAGGTAAAAATTGCATCGTCCCACTGGATCCCTGATGACAGTCACATTTGCGCCATTCAGCTGAACGCAACAGTGAGAACTAAAAGAAGTAGTGAAACTCGCAAAAGAAAAGCTGAGATTTGGTTGTTGTAGCAGATTTCGGTGCTAAAGTGGATAATCTGAGCAAGGCAGAATACCACTTAGGTGTCGCTTTCAGAATCCCAACTGAAAGAACAGATAACAGCGATCACTTGCTACAACGGTTCTCTGCAACATAACTATCATAAATGCAGTTCAGTTGAGAGAATACAAAAACTGCTTCCTGTGAGGAACTCGATAGGGGGTAGTAGAAACAACTTGAAGGTAACGGTTAGTTCAATTACTCCAGCTTTAGAATATATCGGTCAAGAAATGAGTACATCTGCGCCACTGAAACCGGTTTTCAACTATGTCAAAAGAGTCCTATCTTCTCGAGGACCCTAACCAGCCGGTGGTCGATATCTCCCCCACACGAATCCGACCAACACTTAAGGACTTCATTGACTGGTGTCACATCCTGATCTGATCACCCTAAACTCTTGCAACGTAATTCAACTTCCCTCACCTTGTCACGTCGATATAGACTGCGGCTCGGCATGCGCAGCATATGTTCAAACCACTTCAGCTGACTAAGGTCCACAACCTCATCAATTGACCGGCTTATCTTGTCTAGTAACCTTCAACTGAACTCAACATTTCTCTCACGATGATTCCACCAAACGTGAGCGATGCTGCGAAAACACCAATGATCGAAATCCTGTAACCACCTTATGTCCTCTACCTTTAACGGTTGTCTCAGTTGTATAACCATACAGAACGGATGAGCGCACAGTATACGCAACGTTTAGTATACAGTCGGATATCTCACAAGTCCGCACCACAGATGACGCCAGGTGGGAAATGCCACATGGGCCCTCTGTATCCCAGCTGAGATTTCGTTAGCAACCAGTTTGTTTAAGCTGATGCAACTCCACAAGTAAGTGAAGCGGTTGGCATATTACTCCACTTCACTCCTTATCATTAAACTCGAATACTTGCAACAGACCAGTCCTGGAACATCACCTGACGTTTGACAAGTAAGAAACGCTCATACTCAGATTTCCGCTTAACAGGTACAGAAGGCCTCGCATTTTTCAGCCTCTCCACCTAGCAGGACAATATCGCCTACATACGGCAAAACAACTAGATGGTCTGCAGGGAGTTAATCAATCTCCGTGAAATCAACCAGACTTAAAGTTGTATCCATTACAACATCTGTAAACAAATAAGGCGGGAACGTTGACAGTGGGCACCCTTGGCGGACACCACTAGGTGTTGTCAACTCATGTATCAACTCTCCATATGCCCTCGCACTGCTGCATGAGTTCGAGTAGAGAGCTTTGATTAGCGTCGAATACCTTCTTGATACTTCCTACAGTCCGATACCCCCATAACACCTCACGGTCGACAGAGTCGAATGTCGCCTCCAGGTCGAGAAATATAACAAGTGTCGGCCGCCGACAAGTATGTCTATGTTCTAGGACCTGTCGAGGGGTAAAATATGATTGATGCCCCTCCGTTAAAGATATGGAATCTACCTGATTTTCTCGAGTTTATTGTTTTCGATTTCCTTTAAGGCGTTGAATAACTATGAATCCTTGGATCTTGGACACGATATCATTCAGCAATTCCATGCTGAATTTTACTAATTACCTGTGCGACATCAATTACCCTTAGCTAAAATCTAAAAAATACTGTCTACCGGTTTCCAAATTCTTTACTTGTAACTACTGTTTCTATAATCAGCCTGAATAATTTGTAAGTTCTCTGTAAAAGACTGTTCACTTACATCCCTTCAGTTTACTTTATTGTTTCGCTACTGCCGCTTGTTTCAGGTGACTATTTAGAAGTGTAACTGAAATGAAACGTGGAATTTACGCTGGATTTTATTTCAGTAGACGTTACATGGTGAACGCAAAAACAATGAAAATCGTTTTTAATATCATTACTAGGTGTAAAGCATGATTTTGGTTGGTGGTCAAGGGGGCACAGAGAAGACATCAACCCTTCGGAGGTGGACAAGTATAAAACACTTTACTTTTGTGCATTTTTCTAGTATTTTTGATCTCATTGTAGCTTTCTACTTCGTACCGTAATATTTCTAAATGGTTATTTCCTATTAAGAGTACAAATATGTGTCACATAAATAACTTACTTTTCGTATTGTTTCCACAACTGTCCAGCATCTAGCCATTATTGGTAGAGATATAGCCATTTTATCGAGATGTTCCAATTTGTCCACACACGTCGCAATATCTTCGTGACCTTGGACCAGACTGGATTTTATGGAACGATCAATCAACAGTAGGCGTTCTTCAGTATCCAAATCTTTTAACTGTTGTTCCTTGTCTTTACTAATTTCATGATTCGGTGTAGATGGAACATCACTCTTAGAATCGACGATAGAATCCAAACTATACAAAATAAGGAACAGAAGTACCGAAATGACTTCACGTTGACAGGTCGTAGATTTTGAAAGGTTTTGAAGATAGTTTACACGAAGCTACTGAAAGTTCAAGCACTGAATATCTATTAGGTTTTATGTTGGGTCTGATCACGAATGAACACATTTAACCTTTCGTGAGGTGGGACGTTTGACTCCGGAGCTTTGAAGCGCCATATTTACCTACGAGTTCGTCAACATCAGCAACTGCTTTTCTAATACCACTCATGTCGCCAAGATACTAATTGAGATATTACTTTTTTAAAATAAAAGTAGGAATAATATGACCAATATGACAAAGTCATTTGAGAAAATTAAAAATAACGGACTGTTCACAGCACAGTGAATTAACGGAAAGAAAAACAAATGTCCAGTTGGAAGTCAGCGTTTTTAGTCGCAGCACGATAATGTAAATTCGCAACATAGTATTCCGAATGAGATCACTAGCGAACCAAAATGAAATTCACTCACAAACCTTGTGCACGCAATCAATCGCACAAGTTGCGTGGGCGCAAATCACACTTACTATCTGGCTGCCAAACCTCGGCAGCCTGAGCGCGATCCAAACTCCTCACCTCCTGCTTGAAAGTTAACTGCCAAAACCTGTGAGCCACAATTCAATGTGATCTCCACATACCAGTCAACTGCATGGCGTAATATGAGATGCGGAGTATGACTTGGACCAGAAGTTATCAACCTTGTTGTCAATCGATCAATATCAACAAATGACCAGACATTACTGCGTAACGGTCCGAATTGCCACACCTCATATCAGTTCACCAAGGAAAAAGGCAGTGAGGCGCAAGATGAAGATAAGAAAATTCAGTCAAAAGAAATATAAAGTACGAAAAGAAAGAAAAGAGGAATGACAAAATGGTGAGATTCAGTATAGCATCGTTAAGATGGGGATAATGTATGTATACATCTGTGCCACTGACATCGGTTCCCAGCCATGTGATCACCTAGAGTCTCCAACTAACTACTGGTTCCTCTTGTCCCGCAAACCCCAACTAGTCCCACATGGCTCAAACCAACAGTCAAAGACTTCATACATTGGTGCCATGTTTTGGTCTGGCCACCTAGGGTCTTTTTACAGCCTGAACCTACTTCGGCCAACACTGTGTGACGAGGCAATCGGCGACTAGGCATATGTAACACGTGTCGGAGTCAACCATCTCAGTCGATGAAGGTCCACAATCTCGTCAACCGATTCACCTCTTCTCCCTAAAGCTCCACACCTGACGTCTGCGTTACTCACGTGGTGACACCACGGAATACGTTCTATACTACGAGGGCAACGGTGGTCAAACACCTGATGCCAGCCTTCTCATATCTTCCACCTTCAATGGCCATATTTCCCAGTCATACAGTAGAACAGACCAGACTGCTGTGCAGTACACGCCACCCTTAATAGACAATCGGATATCACGGCGACGCCATAGGTGGCGTAAGCTGGCAAAACCCAGCCAAGCATTTTGCATTCGTGCACAGATTTCATCGACCACTAAGCTAGCCACCAGGGTAGGGCCGATCCTACTTCCCAGGTAAGTGAAGTGGTCAACACACTCAACCATTTCACTCTCCATTGTTAGCCGCGGTGGAGTACCGTTGAAGACTAATCCTCGAGAATAAATTTGCATTTGGGTGGTGAGAAACGCATCCGAAACATCCTCAAATTCCCACTCAAAGTGTTCAGAAGACTCTGCATCTTGTCAGCGTCTTCGCATAACACGGCTGACTATGTCATCTGCGTATTCTAGGCATAATGGAAATCCTCCTGCGATTAGGTCGTCTGTGTAATCAGGTGACCAGAAGGAGACCTCCATTAGAATATCTATGATAAAAATAACTAAGAATGGAGACAGTGGGCACCCTTCACGGACACCACTCGATGAGCAAAGCTCCTTGGATATCTCACCACAGGCTCTAACGCGCCCACAAGTACTCGAGTAGAGAGCCTTCAACAGGGTGATTTACTTAGTCAGCACGCCTTTCAGTGAGAGACATTGCCATAAGACTTCTCGATCAACGGAGTCGAATGCCACCTTCAGGTCGAGAAATACAGCTAGTGTTGGGCGTCGGTAAGCGTTTCTACGTTCCAGGACCTGGTGCAGTCTGAATATTTGGTCGATACACCCGCGGCCGGGTCTAGAGCCTGCTTGGTCTTCTCAGGCTTGCCGTTCCCGAGCTCCACTCAGGCGTCGAAGAATTATAGAACCTAGGATCTTATACACTATGTTCGTCAGGCTGATTCCTCTGTGGTTATCACAAAAGGACTTCTCGCCTTTCCTGAAGACTGGAATAATCAGTGATTTAGACCAGTCAGAAAGGGTCGTATTTGATTCCCATATACTAGCTAACACTTCCAGTAGCCTAAGAACACTCTACCACCATTCCTGTATACCTCGAGAGTTAGTCTGTCTGGTCCTGCTGCCCTTCCTCGTTACAAGTTACCCACAGCTTTCTCGATTTCAGCAAGTGTTGGGGGGCCTATCTTTATGTCCCATTCAGGACCCGACTGGATAGCGGGCAACGCAATGGTGGCTGGAGGTCAGTTAAAGTGTTCCTCGAAGTGTTCTGCCCATCGTTCCAGTCGTCTCCCCTGCGAGTGAATCGCAGATCCGTCCTTTTCCCCCTACAGCCTCACTAACTGTTGTTGAGCTCGGTGGACGCCACATCAGACAGTGTCTTTATATCTGAAATTTGTGACAGCTAATAATAGGTGGTTATCTGAGCATAGTTGTAATAGGCGATCACCGTTATCTGTACGTCCAGCCGGGACTTCGAAGGTGCCATCTAAGTGCCTTTCTGCCTCACTCAGTCTAACCACCTGTGCACTGAAGTCACCTGCAACAACCACCACGTCTGAACGTTTGGCTGTCGAGAGGAGGTTAGACAGTTTACGGTAGAACTCGTCCTTCACTTCATCCGAACTACATACAGTCAGTAAGCAGAGATTATAAAGAGATAACGGTGAGTCTCACTATTCTTTTTAGTTCCCACTAAGCCGTTCAGTCGGATAGCCTAGTGGCGACTATCAACTGGGATCCATTCTAGTAGCGAATTTTCTACCCTAGTGCTTGTTGCTGTGTCTACACCTGCAAGACCACGAGAGCTAGCTATCAAATCTCCAGAAACTCGAAGTGTGAGTTTCGTGGATTCACCAGATTGGCCGGCAGAAGTCAGGTGAATAACCACACTGGAGTCCTGTATACGTCTCACAAACGTAGCACAGATTCATGGCTCCAGTTCTTACAGCCTTCGCCAACGAAGTCTGTTGACCAATTTCACAGACGGTGTGGACATTGAAGGCTTCAATATGTAATTTGGAGCCTGTTTTAAGGAAACCAAGAATGCTGTTTTGTGGATTCAGGTTGTTGTCGAAGGCTGAAGAGCTAGGAGAAATTTAAGATGATATAGCATCGTTAGTTGACAGATGTGAAATGAGATTAGAAGGTAATGATGGGGGAGATGGATAGCAGTCTAATGAGACTTGAGCGCTGACAGAGTTGTGAGGGTGGATGATACTGCCCGGTTACCCACACCATGGAAGACTATTTCTTCCTAGGGTACCTGGAAGAGATTTGTGTGACCACAGACCCTATCGGACATCTGCTTGAGGCCTGTCACATGCAGCCTTTTGTGTATGATTATTTTGAACTTTCGTTGTTTTGGAGCCGGATGGTCGAAAAGAAACGACAAATAAACCAACACCACCAGCCCGGCAGACCGTGGGGCATGGTGGAGTGTGTTATTTTTGGGGCCGACCTTTTCTAACACCCACTCCCACTGATGGCAGCATCAGCATGGCACTGCTGGTCATCCAAGGGAAACACCTTACTGCTGTCACACCCCATCCAGCTAGCAGCAGTACGACTTCGCTCGCAGACCCCCATCATAGTGTAGTAATTTACACCACAACGGTGACTGGTTTTCGTCTAACCACTATCCAACAGACCTTTCTGGTATGGTAGGACCTCGAGGGAACAAGTGTTCGACCAGCATAGCTCGTTGGGTCATTGTGATATGCAAGCCAGACCACCACGTCAAAGTAGCAGCTATCGGTCGGTTGTTGTGAAAAGCAAAACTTCCAGTGAGTAACATAAGCGGATAACCGTAATTCTCAGAAGTGCTTGGAGTTTCTTCAGAGTCCCATACTAATGAATCGATACTGAAGGTTCTCATACAGTCTTTTCATATCAGTCATCCGCAGCTGGCAAGCAATGACTCAAACCAAGAAGAAAGCATAGCATTGATTTAATTCAGGTAAGAAAACACAGGAAGGAATTAGATGTAAACACTGCTCTTCTGAACTGATGGTAATCATAGCCAAAAACCGTACATATACACGGGATATCTGAGGTGACCTTGTGGATCAGTGATCCGGATAGGGGGTTACGATAATCAAGCTTGGAATTATCGGGACATTCAAATGTTCTAGAACGGTGTGATCGACAATATTAGACTGTCCCCAGATTTAATCCCTAGGAAATAGTAGTACTTCCCAAAACTAATAATGTCCTTAAAGTTCAGCAAATGGCCAATGAGTCTGTGTAGTCTCATTTAAGGCAAATTATAGGTGACGATTAATCCTGGCTGGTTGTGATTACGATGAGGAGCGAAAGAACATCTAACTGAGTTTCTGCAATTGTCGTCAGCAGTGGTGGGTAACCGCGGCAATACGCACTGCTACTCAATGTTCGCCATTATCAACCTAACCATCCCAAAACTTACATAATGTACCAGATGAGTAAGATTATGCTTTCACCACTCTCATTATTGGACATTGTTTAAACAGAAACTTGACTTAAAATATTACCACAAAAAGGTTTAGTTCATCCTACTGTGGTGAAAGAATATCACCTAAAGTTCTAAATATATAAGTCTATAAAATGGATGAATATTAAAAAAACAGTATTTTCAGCAAATATTTTAAGCGACAGATAGACCCAACATGAAAAGTGAAGATATCGTATTGACAAACAAACTCACCTAATAGTTGAATTTGTTTTAATATCACCACATTTAGACGTCAACGCCACCTATGTTAAAAGGAATAGATAGTAACAGTAATTCCATTACAAGTTGTATCACAGAAAAGCGTATTCAACAGTCTTATGAACAGACAGGGATTTTCGAGGTTCTAATCGTAAGCTGCTACATAAGAGATCATCGACTATGTCGGTTGAATATAGATGCACATCGATAACACTGGATAATGATCGAACTACGTCGAGAATTGACGCAGGTATGGAAAATGTGAACTACTGGATTGTAACCCGACGGAGTTGTGATTCAGTGGTCTAGGTCGTTGACCTTCAACCACTCGGTCATGGGTTCTAACCTTAATCCACCTACCATGATCTGGACAGCCAGAAGCTATCATTAGCTTCTGCAAAAAGGTGTGGTTGGTTTTCTGCTGTACAAACGTGCACTCGGGTGCTGAATTATACCTACTTATTTAACCAAACGGCTGAATAGTAATGCATTTAGGAAACTTACAGTCCTGAGCTTGATCCCCACGGGTTCGTAGATGGCTACTACTGGGGAGTACTGAATACGATGAAATAAATGTTCAGTGCTCCCAGGTTTTCAACAGTTTCCCAGCTGATATCAACAAGTAATGACAACTACCTTGGAACTAATCGATTTCTCACAAACTGATCAGTCGAACAATATGGTTCATAGCCGACAGATGGTAACAATGAGATACTTACATAAACGAAAGTAAACTAGTATTCAGGCAACTGGATCTCAGTGGCTATACAGATAAGAGTAGCCAACAAGGATTCTGATTGCCAAATAAACGAAACTAACATGGGTGTATGAAGTGCTACGAGTCAGACCAAATTCAGTTGTAATACGTCCCATCTTGTTATACTTCTCTTTGTTTCCCAATCTAAACTCATGGTATAACCTGGATGACACAACTCTTTTGGTAATTGTACAACAGAGGTGATACAGTTCAGTGGATACAATTTCACTTTTCAAACATATCACATTTTGAGTTTCACAACCGTATTTACGATAATTCTAAGCATACAAAAGTAAACATAATGGTTGCGGTTACACCATTAACATACTAAGAGAATAGAGAAAAGAAAATTCTAAATATGAAAAAGGTTGAGTAATGATTCATAAAGCTACATAAATAATAATTCCAGTGTATAATGCATTAAAGTCCAGTGTTTCCAAATGAAGTATGATACTTAATTGTGAAGCTAGTAAAGAAAGCAGCAGAGACAATAACGTAGATTAGAACTAGGAACATAAAGAAGTGAAAAACTAGAACATACAATTCAGACTTCAAATGAAGAATCCCTAATGCCTCCACATTAAGTTTAAGTTGCAGATTAGCGTTCTTTTCGAAACTTTATTTGACCTTGTAGATGGTTTTGAAAGATAACTCTAATGGAACTCTGTGACCAGAACTCATGACTTATTTGAGTATTAAGTAATTATATACAGTCTTTATTTTAACGATAGTCTAACAGGATACTGATTTGATATGCATTTGGAAATAGTTCACCTTGTACATTTTAACCAACCAACTTTAAAGGAGCTAGTAAACTCGTAAATATACACTACATTAAGGTGGAACCATGATGACATTTTATCCCGTACACAACAAAGTACAAACTACCAAGTAAAGAACATTGTCTAGAAATCAGTAAAAAAGAATGGAATCCTCAAAGATTTAAATAACCAGTTCTTCAGACTGCCGGTTGGTTTCATATCTGAAGTCGAAATGCATAAGCAAGATCTTCCAAGCTGCAGGGGATCCCCCAACATGTTGTCTTCAGGTTTATAGCAATAAAATCTGAAGGAATAAACAGTAGAAATAGTACTTGTTGAAGTTCTTCTGATACATCAGCTTAGTCAGGTGAATCTGCACAGAATGACTGGTTACACGTTACGCCTTCACAGTCTAAAATGACACCACATAATTGTCTTGTATTTCATCAAAAAGCGTTCTGTATCAATACTTAGATAGCAGGAATACGTATGAAAATATTGAGTAACTCCACTTTACTCACAGTTTTGTGCCAATTACTGGATGATAACTCTGGACTAGTGATTGGGGTCGTCTTTTGTGAGTCTTCGACATGTGAAATGGTTATTTCAGAAGAATCCTGCACCTGCTTTGAAAATTTTCTTCTTAAGCGAATGCTATGAGTTCGATGGACAGAAAGATCCAAATTCTGACTATTTTCCGACTTTTCTTCCATATAAGATGATTTTCCCTTTTTCTCAGTGCTGTTCATCTTTAGACTCTCATCAGTTTTAGAAACATCAGAGTCAGAAGAGTCATCACTCAATTCCGGTAGGACATTCCGAAGAAGGGGAGTAACAACAGCTGTAGAGCGTGGACGCTTAGCCTCAGATTGGTTTATGCTATTACTACCTGCTGTGTTAGGCGTAGGAGTTACTGAAACCACAGGTCTTTGTTTCATTTTTTCCTCTGTTGACATTATTGGAGACATTGTTGTATTTTGACGTATGATGATCTTCAACCGATCAGAAGATGGTTGTATTCGTTCTGGTTCCTAAAAAAATTAAAAACAAATTATTTGGAACCAGTGTCATCAAGAGCAACAACATAGTTAACGACAAGGTTTTAGTACTGAAGCGATAAGTATGTTATAAAAATTTCGAGTTGAGCTTTGTGACAACCATAGGGGAATTAGTTTCACTGACAGTGTCCAAGATCCTAGGATTCATAGTTATTCAACGCCTTAAAGGAAATCGAAAACAATAAACTCGAGAAAATCAGGTAGATTCCATATCTTTAACGGAGGGGCATCAATCATATTTTACCCCTCGACAGGTCCTAGAACATAGACATACTTGTCGGCGGCCGACACTTGTTATATTTCTCGACCTGGAGGCGACATTCGACTCTGTCGACCGTGAGGTGTTATGGGGGTATCGGACTGTAGGAAGTATCAAGAAGGTATTCGACGCTAATCAAAGCTCTCTACTCGAACTCATGCAGCAGTGCGAGGGCATATGGAGAGTTGATACATGAGTTGACAACACCTAGTGGTGTCCGCCAAGGGTGCCCACTGTCAACGTTCCCGCCTTATTTGTTTACAGATGTTGTAATGGATACAATTTTAAGTACATCCGACCACAGAGATTGATCTACTCCCTAGAGGTCATACTCTAGATTGACCTAATGCTAATTGAGCGGGAAACAAATCGCTGGTAGGTTCGAGATAAGTTGAGTAATTTTCAGTGGCACATCTTAAATGAATCTAAGCTACGGTTGTGACAGTGGATAGCTCCAAACGCACGTTAATGGTTTAGATTGAAGTTCACAGGTACCCTAACTTGAATATCAGACACCCATGTGTACCAGGGACTTTTACACTACGTAGACAACCTGGTAGCACTATAAGCTCTAAGAAATCAATTATCGCTCAGCTTGAAATATAAGTCTGTTGCTAAACTGATAATTTAAAATCGAAGTTTTAAGTCTTGACTATGCAGTACTGCTACCCGAAAACTAGTGCAAAAACACTTGCATTAGTTTATGACATTGTACCTGCAAACCTTAAGGAACTGCCTATAGGATTTGTAAGCACCTGGAAGATGGATCATATAAACTTACTAGATTGGATTGTATGAGGAGAGAAATTCAGAGTTGTTTAGTGGCGTTTGGAGGAAATTCGTGTTATTAGTGTAAATAAGCAGCATTCCTTAGTGGTCTGAACGAAAGAATGAAAGATGTGAAACATCTACTGCTCCATGAAAGCATGACTAAGAAGTTGAATTACCCTGGACAATATGCAAAAAAGAACTATATATTAACGTTTCATTTCAGTCAACATTACAGTTGAGTACAGAACTCAACATTTGTATCTATATGTGAGGTGAGTACCAGTAAGAGGTACATTACAGGTGTAATATTGTGAACATAATCAAACGCATTTCTAAAACAAACAAGAATATAGGATATCCTTTAAGAGTAAGCAAATGAAATGCTTAAACTTGAAGCACTATGATCACTTACAGCATGGCGGGCTTCTAAAGTTGCAGTTGACTCTGGTGTAGATGGCGAGGACGGAGAAACAGAATCCGGCGACAATATTAAACCAGTAGAATGTTTGCGAATGCGAAGACGAAGAGTTGAAACACGTTGAGAGTCTTCAGGAACGTAATTCGCCGATTCCACAGGAGCCGGTTGGACAGATGGTCTTACAGTTTTAACTTCTGTAGCAGACGATTGTCTTTTACTTTTACTAGAATAAAAGAATATACCACATGAAAGCACAAAACCAACATTTTTGTCAAAGTAAAATAAACGGAAAGAAACAAAGGGATCTTACGTTAAACTACTTCTTCCACCCCTCTGAGAAGTGCGAGGATGAAACTTGACAGGACTGTTGCTGTTGGGAGATTCGGTGTGCGGTCGTTTAGCAAGTCTCCCATGTTCCGCTAAAAAAGTAATACAATCAAATATTACTGCTGTGACAAGAAAACTACGAATGTAAATGACATTTACGGGTGAAAAGATGACAGTTGTGCAAAGTCTTTAAAAACGATGACCTAAACAAACAAACAGAATTTATCCATAAGACTTCTTTCTCACATATCTCAGCTTGTCAGATGACAGGCTACAACACAAAGAAAATCCGTACTTTCCTGATTTCAAGATAGTTTTTGTCGAAGATGAATACAGTTGTGCTTTCATTCCTGGAAGAAGAAACCTTCCTAACACAGTGAACGATCAGCTCAGTTGCCTTACCATATTTATCATACCTAGCATGTGGCTGCGCTGCCCTTTAAAACCTTTGTATAGTGTTTAAGCATTTGTATCTGTCTGTTTCACCATATGTCTGAGCGCTAATAAGCAGTGAAGAATGCGGTTATTATTATGCCTTTCGTAACGCGCCAAGTCTCTCAACCATACAGGAGGGCTGAACTTGACTTTGGTGTTGAAAATCCGGATCTTGTTCCACATGCTGAGTGCAGAAGATCTCGACACTGGTTTCAGGCTAATAAACGCCTGTCTTGCTTTTCCGATTCTGACTTTGACGTCCTCTTCTGTGCCTGTGCAGGCCCGTAGTTGAAACAGTGCTGCCTAGATAAGTGGAGGAGGCTACTTCCTTTAAGTTTCTCCCGTTGATGATGATTGGAGCTTGTTATTGTTGGTTGGGTATCTTCACCACCTCTATATACAAGTAAAATTGCTGGACGTAGTGTCCTACACAGCACTTCAATTTGTCTTTACACATACTATTTAAACTGTCCACTCTATCTTACTACCAGGATTTGATCCGACAGTTTTCATATGTGCAAACAACTACTATTCATAGACTTGTGTCAATTATATTCCATCGAAAATTCGCACTTACTTTACTATTTCTCATAGCTTTCAAGTTTTATAAAAACATTATTGATGGGAACCAATGAGAGGATAACACATAACACAAAAATAATGAAGCAGATATTTGGTTGCGTTGAAATTTATTAGCAAAAATGTGGTAGAAAATTTGCTGTGGAAAGCCTATGGTCGTAGGTTTCCACAATAAAGAACCCATTGGCAACTTTCTGAAATCACGGCTGTCGAAATAGATTGTGAAATAGAAAGGGGTGAATTACAGGAACTTACCTCCGAAGCCCAGGTGACTTTGCTCAAGGGTATAAGTTGGATATTCGATTGAAAAACGTGTTTCAATCAATCAGCTGGCATTAAGCCAAACAGGGAAATTCTTATAACCGGTGAAATGTCGCACAGATCAAAATCAGAAAATAGTGAGACAAAAATGCAGACATACTTCAAAATAAATAAACATCCTGCACACCTTAGTATGCAGAAGCTAGGTGTTATACGATTGTTTCAAGTTTATACTGGGAAGTGAAAAAGTTTGATGGTAAAATTGGCAACGTTTACACTAGAAACTGATGTTCAGAAGGATGCCATACGAATAATGATACTCACACGTTCGTACACGAAGTGATGCATACAGCACGACGACTGATGAATCTCTACTAGTACCTCAGTAGTTGGAGCGCAGTAAAAGACACGACACATTGGTTGATGGGTCAATGCTTAAATAAACAAGTCACATCTACAATGAGTTAATTAGAAATAGGTTACTAGTTGAGATAGAGTTGGCAGTTGAAAATCCTCAATATCAGACATAAACAAGAAAAGATTCACAAAATTCAATTCAAAAACTTGTTCTGAAGCTAAACATTTGAAATATAGTATAAGCAATACCACAGCACTACAGGATTTTACTGCACATATTTAAAAATACTCATTGCATAATGAGCACCAAAAAAACTGCAACAGAGAATAAGAAAACCACAGTATGAAGACACAAGGGACAGGGAAAATAATAAATAACTAGGAAAACAAGTCATATAGTACAATCTAGAAGTTTTAACTTCGTTTGCATTTATACAGAACAGAAGACACAAAGAAATAATGACTGTCAACGTTTTCAGTTCAAAAATATGCGTGATATCGTCTAAAGGGGAAAAATCACTTGATTCATTAGGACTACATCGTGGATCCTCACATCCATCAATCAATCCAGAAACAGACAAAAGTAACCCTAATGCTTAAGTTCCACACAAATTATAACCTCCACTTTATCTGCCTAAGTGTCAGCAAGTAATAAACAATATTCAGGCTACTTGGAAAGCGAAACCAAGGAAACCATAGAGTTTTCAGATGTGGTCAAGGGGGTACCCATCAGATAGATATTCACCCCCCCACCAGGTTCTCAGGCGTATGCACACTTACCGACGCCCGACACCGGCTGTATTTCGATCTGAAGGTGCCACTCTATCCCATTGGTCGAGGTCTTACAGAAGTGCTTCTCACTCAAAGGAGTGCTGAGTTAGCACATCACTCTTTCGAAGACTGTACTAGAACAGTTGTGAACGTGTTAGAGTCTATGCTGAGTTATCAGGTGAGCTGTGTACGTCGACTGGTGTCCGTCAACGATGTCCACTCTCCATACTAACAATCAACTTTATCGTAAACACAATGATGGAGGTCTTTCTCTCGTTGTTTGACACTGATCTTATCACAGGAAAATCCTTAGTAGATCTAGAGGACGCAAATGACATAGTCATGTTAGGCGAAGAGACTGAGAGGATGTAGTCATTACAGCTTGACGAAAAAAGTACTACGACTCAGTCTTCATATTTTCTGGTTAAATAGCACAAATATCGATTAATTGTGGCTCACATGTATGTCAGTAATCAGGTGCGAATCGATGCGCAAAGTTGTGACTTTCTAAAGTACGCTGGTCAAAACTGCAACAGATGAATGTTAGATACCTCGAGTCACTAAGAATAAAAAACCAAACGTCTAATACGAAACGTAATATATTTGACCACTCAGTTCAGTGACCACACTATAAACCCTTTAGGCATAGTTCAGATAGCATTCACTAGTGACGGTTACCATTCAGTGGCCAACTTAAGGTTGTCTTAAGTATCCTGAATGTCTTGTGTTAATTTGGTATGCGTTATGCACATGTCTTTGTAGCATTGCACGCGTTTGGCGGAATAACTATGTGAGCAATGTTGAGTTCAAGTGAAGGGTACCAGACAAGATAGACAAGTTGGTTGATGAGGTTGTGAACTTTAGTCGACTGAGATGGCTTGAATGTGCACTTTGCATGCCTAGCCACCGCCTACCTCGATGCGCCATGCTGGTGGGGGAAGTCGGATGAGGTTGGAAGAGGGTTTAGGGTGGCCAGACCAAGACCTGGCACCGGTCAACGAATGTTGGTTTGAGGCCTACGGGGAGATGTAAACTATCTGGTCGAGGTCCGCGAGACGAAAGGGATCAGTGGTTGAGGACTCTTGGTGACATGGCTGGAAATCGGTCGCAGTGGCGCAGATGTATTTACTGCTTGGCATCTAAAGCTTGAATATTCCTACTGACCTTCATCTTCAGACTGTTTATTCTCTTACACTACTCCATCTATTTTGATATTACTCTTTTTCCTATTCATTTTTGTGTACTACTATGAAGTGTAGCAACTTGAAGCGATGCACTGATGTGCGAGGTTATACGTTGATTTTTTCAGTCACTCAGTTATGCACCTTCTAAATATAAGATACAGCACTTGTGTGCATCAACACCAACAGAAAGTAGTTAGGCGGAGTATGTTGATCACTTCATTTATTCCTGAGATCTTATCATCCCTGATAGGAGTGTGCTACCGTTTAGAGTGCTTTCAAGTAACATATCGTACAGCGTCTTCAGCAAAATTGACAGGACCAGACAATCGGTCGTCGGATGTTCTTGAAAGCGAAACAAAATGGAATTTAAAAAGCTGGAGAACCCAGTTAGAAGAAAAATACAAATGATTTTCGTGGGAAAGACATTTATTATAGGGTTATAATATTTTATCAGTACTGATTATAATTTATTTTATATACAACCTTTGACTGTGTTGATAAAATGCTAACAGGGACATAGAATACCTGTTTAAAAATTGACAAACTTCGCTCTCAAGTTTCGGTAATAGGTTTGAGCACCTTATGCAAGGTGATTGAGAAGCGTAATATTCTGATATGCCAGTGTGCGCAGCTGAGACAGTTGCTGATAGTGAAAGCCATAAAGTTAACGGCTTTTCATCATAGATGCTTTTGTAGCATTGTTAGGATGTGGCCAAAAAAGAGCAAATAATGTTGAGGTGAAACTGATAAAACTATGTACGGAATGCAAGCCAAGTGACTATATGTACTCGAAAATGAGCCACAACTAATATTTGAGGGATGATAGTACTATTAGGTTACCAAAATTCTAGCAAGTGGAATGGGGTTCAAACTCGTGACCTAAATGAAATGCTACCACTCAAACCAACCAGTAAGTAATGGATACTCTAATTGGTGTGCGTTAAGAATAATTATAGTTACGCAGACGTCTTCACTTCTTATCCTTAAAAATCTGAGCATTACCATTAAACTGCTTAGAATTTTTCTTTATTCTCATATCCTTTTTCATAGGAAGCGGTCCAAATGGAAATCAACATTTTAAATCACCAGCGGATAAAGTTCAAGTTTTATACTTCAATTTTTGTTTCCTGTCGTTACATGGTCAGGAAAAACCCTATTGGGTAATTTTATCCTATAGTTGACCAACCAATAAGCTATTTAACTTTTGACTGGTTTTATCTGTTCATGAAAACTATATAAATGATCTACTTCTGTCGAATTAAGCGTATCCCTCATCGCACTCGGCTACCTTGTGCACATCCGTGCGGTAGGCGATGAGTCACATTTATTGTGCGAAGGCCCAGTGATACTACCTGGCTGCCCAAACATCGGTAGGTGGAACCCGTGACCCAATGGCCGGTAATCATCTTAAGACACTGAGCCACAGCTCTAGTCCCACTGTCTCGATGAGTAACTATCGTTTGCGTATTTCTTGCTATTTCATTTCATCACTTCTCTTCTTGATATATGGCATTTTCATTTGAGAAATTGACAAGCCAAACTGCTGTACTTTTATGTGGTCATACGTTGGTTTATCTGGGACCAAATTCGAGCATATGGACATTACGATCAGTGCAGTGAGTTATTGTACATAAAAAGACTTTAACGAACGACAGTGCATACCTACGCATTGATTAGGGTTGTCACACTATATTTCCACATAGAGTTGAAAACTGATAGGTTACATAGAGAAATGTAAATAAATATATTAGAAGTCGTGAGGTTAAGTAGAAGGTAGAGTCGATATCAATCAAATAAAGGTATATGACTTGTGGTTTAGAAGGAGAGGCGAATTTGAGATATCGCTCCTGCAACGCATTTTAAACCATGTCACCCCGTTTCTAATCATCGATTTCGGTTGTTGCAAGAACCGCAAGCAAGAAGTTTACATTTCCCTACAGGAATTAAACTAACAGTCATACATTATGAACTGATACCACGTTTCAACCTGGTCACCCTCAGTTTTTTCCAAACTATAACTTGCTTCAGTCAATACAGTTCATTACAGCAGAGGATCGGGACGTGTAACATATGTCTCATCCGAACAGTAAACGAAGGCTCACAACCTAATCAATTAACATACCTATTCACTTGACACTATTTAATCAACATTCGCACCGTTCGTATATCGTATTATTTTTAGCTTAACAATATTCTACTGATTCCATATTAGATTTGTTTATTTGATATATAGCGCACAGTGATACAGTATTATTTACTTGATTACGTTTCGAGCATAAATTATTACTCATAATCATATAATATCATATCATATATCAAATAAACAAATCTAATATGGAATTACATCCTACCGCAGTGCCCAAGTTTTACACTTATATTCTACTGACCCCACACAAATAAGGTATTGCTTCCTTGATAATTCTTAAATGGTTATATCCCTCAAGGAATATGGCTTCAAATCTGTCTGACTGACATAATCTGTTCTTCCCCAAATTTCCAAATCACTACTACTTAACTCGTGCAACGTTATGGTTTTACTATTTGTATCCCATTAACTTGTTCCTTTTTATTTCTAAATGTGCTGATGTGCTGCAGCACCTCTGATCAGCATACACAGCTATACAGGTTCCTGCGTTGTTTCTCTCTGTATTTCAATACTGTACTGAAATTAACTGGTATCAAAAAGTTAGCTCAAGTTATCAAAAACGGATAACTTACTTTCAGCTGAAGTTGACTTTGACCGCTTCTGACTCGGTGTTTGTGCTGCAACATTCGTATTCTGACATTCACGTTTGAACGAGTAAAACTGAGCCAAAAATACTTCCGCTTCAGGATCCTACAAAAGATCCACACTCACTATAATGGTCAAGAAATTCAACTCAATATTTATCACAATCTTATTAGTAGCAATAATACCTCAGTAGGTATACACGTTCGTGAACTAGATAGTGATATATATATATATATATATATATATATATATATATATATATATATATATATTTGAGGAATTAGAAGACACAACAGAGACTTGTGTGAGAATATTACCCGAAATATTACAGAAATGGTAAATGAAAACAAAGTTGATAAAAAATCATAAAATAGGTGCAGAATACGCAGTTCAATACTTACAGCAAGACAAATGATCAACATCACAAATAATTAATAGTGGAAAATGTAAAGCACCCACTTAATATATCACCAGTCTTCTGCAGTTGATAGATTTGATACGCACACCAAATTTCTGTCAACTAAAATCTTATCTCATACGAGGTGATTTCTCAGTCAGAGGGCAAATGAATCTTTTAACCACGTACTGTCATAAACAAAACCAGTCACAAGAGATATCAAAGTTTAGTCAACCCAATTTAAACCTCCATACCCTCGATAAGTATATTAACAAGACCATATAACATAAGCATTTTCATTTAACAGAGTTGGTAAAAATGTAAACAGACAATTTAAACATAGGTTGTGGAAGCATTACGCTTTGGTACAAGTTGCCACACCTCGTATCAGCACATCAAGCGAGAAAATACAAAGATGAAAAATAAAGAAATCAAGAAACTATTAGGAAGTGGCAGAATGTCGTGAAAAGGGAACGGGAAGGAATGAAACAATGCTAAGTTCTATATGACTATTAGGATGGAGATAATATGCGAATACATCTGCACAACTTAGATCGATTCTAATCCCTGTCACATATAGTCTCAAAATACCACTTTAAGTTGACACGCACACCTCAACAGGAAAGTTTACATTCATGACTCATACATACATACATGACCCACATAAGCAGACTTCGTGGACCTATCCCTTGTTTTAATCTGACCACGTCTAACTTGTTTCCAGTCTAAACCTCCAGCTGACAAAGTGAGACAGAGCAGACGACGACTAGACATGTGTAACAAATGTCCTGGCCATCTGAGTCGATGTAGGTTCACTACCTTATCGATTGAATTTTCTCTTCTTCCTAGAACTATATACATGACTTATACATTACTGACGCAGTGTCACCATGAAATATGCCCACACTGCGGAGTCAACGGTGGTGGAAGATCTGAAGCCTTCCCACTTTCTCTGCTCTTACTGACCACATTTCGAAACCATAAAGTAGAAGAAAGTGTACTGTAGGGCAGAGATCAATCACCATCAATATCAACAAATGACCAGACATTACTGCGTAACGGTCCGAATTGCCACACCTCATATCAGTTCACCAAGGAAAAAGGCAGTGAGGCGCAAGATGAAGATAAGAAAATTCAGTCAAAAGAAATATAAAGTACGAAAAGAAAGAAAAGAGGAATGACAAAATGGTGAGATTCAGTATAGCATCGTTAAGATGGGGATAATGTATGTATACATCTGTGCCACTGACATCGGTTCCCAGCCATGTGATCACCTAGAGTCTCCAACTAACTACTGGTTCCTCTTGTCCCGCAAACCCCAACTAGTCCCACATGGCTCAAACCAACAGTCAAAGACTTCATACATTGGTGCCATGTTTTGGTCTGGCCACCTAGGGTCTTTTTACAGCCTGAACCTACTTCGGCCAACACTGTGTGACGAGGCAATCGGCGACTAGGCATATGTAACACGTGTCGGAGTCAACCATCTCAGTCGATGAAGGTCCACAATCTCGTCAACCGATTCACCTCTTCTCCCTAAAGCTCCACACCTGACGTCTGCGTTACTCACGTGGTGACACCACGGAATACGTTCTATACTACGAGGGCAACGGTGGTCAAACACCTGATGCCAGCCTTCTCATATCTTCCACCTTCAATGGCCATATTTCCCAGTCATACAGTAGAACAGACCAGACTGCTGTGCAGTACACGCCACCCTTAATAGACAATCGGATATCACGGCGACGCCATAGGTGGCGTAAGCTGGCAAAACCCAGCCAAGCATTTTGCATTCGTGCACAGATTTCATCGACCACTAAGCTAGCCACCAGGGTAGGGCCGATCCTACTTCCCAGGTAAGTGAAGTGGTCAACACACTCAACCATTTCACTCTCCATTGTTAGCCGCGGTGGAGTACCGTTGAAGACTAATCCTCGAGAATAAATTTGCATTTGGGTGGTGAGAAACGCATCCGAAACATCCTCAAATTCCCACTCAAAGTGTTCAGAAGACTCTGCATCTTGTCAGCGTCTTCGCATAACACGGCTGACTATGTCATCTGCGTATTCTAGGCATAATGGAAATCCTCCTGCGATTAGGTCGTCTGTGTAATCAGGTGACCAGAAGGAGACCTCCATTAGAATATCTATGATAAAAATAACTAAGAATGGAGACAGTGGGCACCCTTCACGGACACCACTCGATGAGCAAAGCTCCTTGGATATCTCACCACAGGCTCTAACGCGCCCACAAGTACTCGAGTAGAGAGCCTTCAACAGGGTGATTTACTTAGTCAGCACGCCTTTCAGTGAGAGACATTGCCATAAGACTTCTCGATCAACGGAGTCGAATGCCACCTTCAGGTCGAGAAATACAGCTAGTGTTGGGCGTCGGTAAGCGTTTCTACGTTCCAGGACCTGGTGCAGTCTGAATATTTGGTCGATACACCCGCGGCCGGGTCTAGAGCCTGCTTGGTCTTCTCAGGCTTGCCGTTCCCGAGCTCCACTCAGGCGTCGAAGAATTATAGAACCTAGGATCTTATACACTATGTTCGTCAGGCTGATTCCTCTGTGGTTATCACAAAAGGACTTCTCGCCTTTCCTGAAGACTGGAATAATCAGTGATTTAGACCAGTCAGAAAGGGTCGTATTTGATTCCCATATACTAGCTAACACTTCCAGTAGCCTAAGAACACTCTACCACCATTCCTGTATACCTCGAGAGTTAGTCTGTCTGGTCCTGCTGCCCTTCCTCGTTACAAGTTACCCACAGCTTTCTCGATTTCAGCAAGTGTTGGGGGGCCTATCTTTATGTCCCATTCAGGACCCGACTGGATAGCGGGCAACGCAATGGTGGCTGGAGGTCAGTTAAAGTGTTCCTCGAAGTGTTCTGCCCATCGTTCCAGTCGTCTCCCCTGCGAGTGAATCGCAGATCCGTCCTTTCCCCCCTACAGCCTGACTAACTGTTGCTGATCTTTTCCCCTCAGTCTCCTGAATAATGCTAAATAACTGTCTACTATTACCGATCGCGGCAGCCTTTTACATCTCTTTAGCTTTCGCTGCCCACCGCTGTTCGCAATCGTTGCGTAGACTTTTCACTAGTCTACTTTTAAGTTACGCTTGCTCTTCGTTGTACTCATAGTCTGCAGGGATGCGTTCACGTGCATCCATTAGTTCGGAATAAGCTGCTGATATCCACTGGCTCTTTATAGCCACTATTTCGCAGCCGGTTACAGTCTTCAGCGCTGCTTTTACAGCAGACTGGAGATGGCACAAAGCTTCTTCTGGATGGGCGATAGTCTTTTGTTCCGATAACTGCCTAGCCAACTTCTCACTGAACACGGGGCAGGGCAGTGCACTCGACCCTAACACGCAATTGAACTTGTTTTATCCGTGGAGAGATTTCGTTTATCAGGGTAAGTGAAGTGATAAGATCAGTGTCAAACAACGAGAGAAAGACCTCCATCATTGTGTTTACGATAAAGTTGATTGTTAGTATAGAGAGTGGACATCGTTGACGGACACCAGTCGACGTACACAGCTCACCTGATAACTCAGCATAGACTCTAACACGTTCACAACTGTTCTAGTACAGTCTTCGAAAGAGTGATGTGCTAACTCAGCACTCCTTTGAGTGAGAAGCACTTCTGTAAGACCTCGACCAATGGGATAGAGTGGCACCTTCAGATCGAAATACAGCCGGTGTCGGGCGTCGGTAAGTGTGCATACGCCTGAGAACCTGGTGGGGGGGGTGAATATCTATCTGATGGGTACCCCCTTGATCACAACCGAAGACTGCCTAGTTTTCTTGCATTTTCAGGTAATTATAGAATCCAGAACCAGAGACACTACATTCGTCAGACCGATTCAGTCACTGCAGACGACGAGGTTGTAGTAAGATGAGCATTGTTACTATGCTCTCTATAAGTCGTAATATGCGATTTTTTGGCATTTAGCAGGCGTATAAAATGAGGAGTGACACCAACTGTAAATGAACTCATTTAAATGACTATGAACTACACGATTCTGTAATCCGTATACTGTCCTTATTCTATCTTCTGATTTGCTTCAGTGGATTTTGGGCATCATAACTACGGAGTCGGGAAGTTTGTTTCCAATGTTCATATTTTTCTTTATATTTATAAACTTCAAAACATGGGACAAAAGTGACCTATTCGCAGTATATTATGGTCTAACCAGGAATATGATATACCGCAAATAATCCCGATTGCCTGACCGACAGTTGCTGCCTCGACGTGGTGGTCGGGTTTGTATATCACGATGACCCAAGGAGATATGCTAGTGGGACGCTTGTTCCCTCAAGGTCCTACAATACCACGAAGGTTTGTTGGGTAGTGGATACACAAATAGCAGTTATCCTTACCCTTAACATGTTCTTAAACAATAAAACAGTGCATTATGATGGCTTAGATTAGTCATCAGTGGTTAATAGTGATCCAGAATCACAGGATGTATGTTCGACCACACTTTCTGTAATGCAGACCAATTGTCGTGGCACCAGAAAAGCCGTACGTGGGCTCTGCAACCACGCACTAACCCTTCGTGTTTAGGTGCCCCTATAAGACCTAGCCTTTACACCGTGGGCAGTCAGTGTCAACCGCCCTCACAACTCTACCAGCTCCCAAGTTCGCTCAGGCCACTATCCACCTCTCACACGTTTACCTTCTAATCTTCCTTTACATCTCCCAGTTAACAACAACCGTACACCATCTTTAATTCCTGCAGCTCTCGAAAACGATCAGTCCACAGAACAAGATCATTGGTCTCCTTAAACCACGTTCCAAATTACACATTGGAGCCTTTAATGTCCGCACCCTACGTCAACTTAGCCAACAAGCTCCATTGGCCAAAACTCTTGCAGCTCAGCCATGGATCCACGCTTTGTGAGACACATATACAAGACCCAAGTGTGGTTATTCACCTAACCTCTCCCGGCCAGTATAATGAATCCGCGAAAATCACCTTTCGAGTTTCTGGAGATTCGATGGCCAGCTCTCGCAGTCTTGCAGGTGTAGGCACAGCAATAAGCACTAGGGCAGAAAGCTTACTACTAGACTAGATCCCAGTCGCCTATGTGCTGTCCAGCTGAACGTCACAATGAGAACTGAAAGTGAAACTCATCCTTGTCTCTTTATAATCACTGCTTACGCACCCACTGTCTGCAGTTCAAAAGCCAAACATTCAGATGTTGTTGCCGGTGATTTCAACGTACAAGTGAGTAGTTTGAGTAAGGCAGAAAAACACTTTCGGAATTCCGATTGAACGAACAGATAAAGGTTATCACTTTCTACAACTGTGCTTAGATAACCACTTATTTCTAGCTGGCACAAACTCCAGACATAAAGACATTGTCTGACGTGGTGCCCACCGAGCTCAACTCAGCGATGGACACAGATAGACCACATTGCTATCAGCCATAGCCGATGGTCGGTGGAAGACTCCCACTCAATCTGGAGCACGTGTTTGGATAGCGACCAGGCGTTTGTTCGAGCACATGGATGTAGAAAAACTTTAACAAGACCGTTAGGTGTTTAGCTCGATAATGAGAGCACTAAGGGCGCTTTCAGTGAGAAACTGGATAGTCAGTTATTGTAACAAAGCGACTAACGGAACTTCCGTATCTGAGCCGGGATTTCGTCAACAACCAGCCTGTTCGGGCTTGTGTAACTCCCTAAGTGAAGTGATCGACACATTCCACCACCTCACTCCCTATTATCAAACTGAGAGTACGTGCAGTAAACCAATCCTGGAGCCTCACCTGACATTTGACAGGTGCGAAACGCGTGTCAAACATACATTTCTGCTCAACGCGCTCAGATGACCCCAAATTCTGTCAGTGTCTTCACTTAGCACGTCAATATCGTCTACGTACTTCAAGTCAACCGGGTGGCCTCCAAGGAGATCAATGCTTGTGAAGTCAGAGGTACTTAAGGTTTTGTTCGTTAGTATGTTAAATAGCAACGGTGACTGGGCATCCTTGGTGGACACTACTTGTTGTCAATTCACTCTATAATCCATCTTGAGGTTGCATGAGTTCGAGTAGAGAGCATTGATTAGTGTTATATGTATTCTTAGTAATCCGTTTAGTGTGGCAACTTGGACCAATACGCAGTAATGCTTGGTCCTATGTTGATCTTCATGATGATGAGCACTGCCCTCAGTCAGACACCGACACCTCATGGCCCAGTGAGTAGAATGCCGTCCTCAGGTCAAGAAATATGACGTGTCAGCCACTGGTCGGTAAGTGTACCTGTATTCCAGGACCTGTCGGAGGTTAAAAATATGGTCAGTGCACACTCGTCCAGGTCTGAAACCTGCCTAGTTTTCTCAGGTTTGTTGTTCTTCAGCTCCAGTTAAGCGTCGAATAAAAATGGACCTAACAATCGTGAAAAAAATCAAACTGACCCCTTATGATTGTCACAGGAAGACTTCTCCCCCTTCTTATCGACTGGGATGTTCAGTGAAATGGACCACTCCGACGGGACTACCACTTCCCATCCACTAACCAGTACCTCCGTTACTAACAATTTCTTACCTACATTATTGGAAACTTCTGGGGGTAGACCATCAAGTCCTGCTGCTTTGCATTGTTTCAGGTTCAAAAAGGTCTCCCTAACTTCAAGGAGAGTCGGAGGACCAACATCTTTGTCCCATTCAGGTTCGGGTTAGACGATGCCCAGCTAAAGCATTACTGTAGCCCAAGTAATCTGTTCTGCCCAACGTTCTAACCTAACCTAACCCATCCTTTTTGGTGATGCTCACTCACCATCGTCTTCTTCTTACTACTATCTTTAATAAGCCTAAATAGTTACAGGGTGTTACCCAACGCTGATGCCTTCTGTATCTCCCTCATGGATGCTCTCCTTAGGGTTCTAACAGCTAATTCCACTGCTTCGCGAAACGGTGAACACTCAATAATGTAGTTAGATTTGCAGCGATGCACACACGCCACTAGGGGAAGTCTTTCGTTGTCAATCCTAATCCGCAATGACCCATTTGTCAGTGAGCTACAAAGAACTGTTCGAGTTACAGTTACATTTGATATCGTCAGAAGTAATACATACATGGCCTAGAAAAGCGTGGAACAATAGCCAATCCTCCTCTGAAAAACACCTCTACCTCCTGACAATGTATGATGCACAACTTTTGAAATGAAATCTTCTTTGTATCGCATCATTAAACTGAAGAGAACCATGATATTCCTAAGCAGTGACTCTGGGCCTGACATCTGCTTCAGAATCACCAATCCGCATCATTTATCGTCCTCAATACTCAACTTTGTCAGGCTTCGAAATGACAAGAGAGCGAAGAGTGGGAGGTGAAGTCCATTATGTTTGACATGTACAGTAAATAAACGCATGCAGCACATTAGTGTTGGATAATGGCCAGCAATGGGACCCAGAACGCGCGTCTTGTCCCGTTTGAGACTCGTTGGCTGGATATACTTGCCTCCCAGTGAGACGTTCCCACTAAGAATCGAAACCGCGACTAATCGCTTCAAACTCCAGAGCGTTACTCACAAGACCACCAAGTCATAATAGCCATTTCTTGCGTGACGGGCATAGGTTCTGCGTTGCTGGCTGGGCCGAATTGATCGATCTTCCTTGGTATATAGGCTTCTACACGGACGCCTCGATATCACCTGTTTCAACTTCATACTAGTATTAATATTTTATCATTAACATAGAACCGGAACGGATATCGAGGCATTCGCACAAGAGCCGATATGCCAATGGAGATCGATCAACTCGGTCGAATCATCGACTGGATAAAACAAGTAAGACCATATACAGCATAATTGGCAAAAATGTTTTGGACTGAAGTATTTCACCTGTTTGTGAGAGTTTGTTAGAGTTTTGATAGGATTTATCCATTCACAGCCCTACAAGATTGATTTACAATGTGCAACAGCCTTAGAAGCATGTGACGTAATTTATATAAACATGTCATCAGTCACAATCTTTTTCGGAAAGCCCCTATGATTTCGAACGCCACCCCAACAAGAAAACCAGTCAGGTCTCTTTTCGTGTTGTACAGAAACTTATAAGATTAGTCCACTTATTTAAAGGGACTTGAATTCCAGTCAAAATACTATGCCTCATCAATTAGGTAGCAAAGAACTCATTGTTTACACGGTATATCCTTTGGTTAGCTCATCTGGCCGCTATCTTAGTCACTTGAGGATATTCCAGCTCTCGTCGTCCTTCGACCTTACCGGGCTTCTTAACTAAACTATACGGTTAACTATAACCAACTGAAACTAGCGTCCGACTGGCCTTTGTCACATCGTACGTAGCGGTTGACTATTCTGTTTGATTGCACTAGTACATTCACCAAGCCGTTCTCTCGGGTTACTGAGGGTAACCTTTGCAATTTTTCTTTATGGGCTCATTTTATCAGAGAGTTGACATAACGACAGACTTACCTTATTATAGAGAAGTACATCAGGATTTTCTTCTATCTCCCGTAATCCAGCCTGGAAAGCAGGTTTGTTTCGAGTTACCCCATACTTGTGTTTGAATTTTTCATAAGGAAATATATCTTTTGGAGTTAGAAAGTAACTGCAAACGAAAAAGAAAAGACATTAAAGAAAAAAATATTTGGCCATACACTTCATGTGTGCCATAGAAAAATATTGGGTATTTCCCTTTTGGAATCGGGACATCTTCAGGCAGTAAGTTAATCTGTTAAGTGTAAAACAAATCCTTCTGCTTCTTACTCTTGATGGCCAATGTGGATGACCCTTAACCTTTGCAAATATCTTGTCTCCCGGAGAATAAGCCATCACTGTACACAGGGACCCGCCAGATTTGATTCATGCACAAGTTTCAAGCAATTCAACAAAAGTGATGGACGTCGAATTCCTTGTTGTAATAACAGTGGACTGAATAGTCTTCATCTATACTTTTGTAGTATCGTGAAATGCTAGGTGGGGATAAAATCTTCATTCACCGTCTCTGTTCTAAGAAAGGACAAGTGTCACTTACCACTAAGTATTCTCTTCGGTTATTGTATCTTTGATGTAGTACAGACTAGAGGACTCTTATAGCCTTGATCCTTTGGGCCAAAAATGAGTCTCGGAGATCATTCCTCCGACGCCCCTTCTCCAAGAAGGAAATCTCGCACTTCGCAGATCGTAACTGCGGATCTTAGGTCAAGCACTCTGGTATTCATTTGATTAAACTTAAGCTTCTTTCACTACAATTAGTAAATTGGATGGTCCTCGAATAACAAAACGTAGTGTTACAGGGTGTTTTCGGTGTATGCTACGACAGACTTCCCTACAAGAAACCCGCGAAAAAGAATGCATGGCTAGAATACCCTTTCCTTGCCACAAATAATTCACGGGGTTTGTGGATTACCTTCTTCGTGCATCATCAGATCTCCAATGGATATTCTGTCCTCAACTGAGGTTATTGGACTTAAAGGTCATTACAAGCTCCATGAGAAGAGGACCCCATGGTTCACAAATTCTGAAAACTGTTTTTAGTTCGTGCTCATGGATGCTCTGCTATTAAGAGGATGCTCCTCACATTATGCTTCCAGGTAAATCATAGATATTCAGCACTCAAACTCTTGGTTTTGCGGGAGATGTGATGCACAGCTGCCATACCCCCCTAGTCCGTCTACAACTTGCAGGATGAAGATTAGAATTCACTTGATCAATTCATGAGTGCTTCCCAGTTAAGTCCCATTTTCAGAGACTGTCATTGCACTCGTACCGGATTACCTATATTTCCAACGAACTACAGAAAAATGACAGGCCAACTTCCAACAATATAAGGGTACGCGTGTGATGTGTAAGTTGTTTCGAACAGGTCCGGAACCAGTCTACTGAAAATTCGAGGAAGGAACCCAGTAACACCAGTAACCCTTTTTTAGCTGCCAAGCTGTAATCTGGGGAAACTACGGGTTTCACATGGTCGCATAGAAGTACTTCATAGTGCTTGATCATGCGATGGAAGTGTTTCTTAGAGTTAGAAAGTGTGTGAAAACCCATGTAATCTAATGTGATTTTCCAATGTTTCCCCGTAGTAAGTGGGGTTGAGTTATTCACTGGCCACTTGTGGGCTTCATATGGGCCGCTTCTAAACTTGGATACATCCACGGGCCCACCTATTGCCCTTAGTATTTGTATTTACACGCTCATACCAAGGACTAAAAGCTGATGGAGGTCATTAGATCGTCTATAAATAAGACAACAATAATGAGACAAATAAGTTTAAGATGAGTATTTGGATGAGTAGAAGTTTGCTGTAACCTTTAATGAAGTTAATCCACCGCTTATTTTAAAACTTATCGTCGACTCTATGTAGAGAAAATCACAGCCAGTCATACACATGCATCAATGAGGTCAAGTGAATGAGTAGCTTGCCTATCAGTTGGTGAATTAAGCTACCTCCAGTAGTTGAAATAATTTTTCAAAAACCTTATGGGTGGAAAATCATGCGTCGAACAACATCTAAGTTTTAATGGCCACGATATCGTTCTTTCGTCAAAATGTCCACAATGCACATTCCTGACATCAGAAGGCCATTAAGTTAAAACTAAGTATTCGTGTGGAATTTTCAATACTTTGGCCAAGTGGCATGCTGGGGTATGAACTCATGCCAACTGTCTGATAAAATTTGCTTCGAAGTGCTGGTATCTACCAACAGACAACCGCAATTTCGGGTCTCCCTTGTCTTGAGTAACAGCTGTATTTTTCTGGACCCATAGTGAAGCAATTTACAGCCAGCTGGTCTACAACATTTCTAAAAAATAATTTTTGGCCGTAGACCAATATATAGGCTGCCCTTCTGAGCTTTCTCTTTACACAGTGTCCAATTTTTATTTCACCATTGCCTCCGCGTAATTAGTTGACTAAGATGGAACCAGCACACTGCCTGGTGTAACAGTGGCCGCGCCCTGGGCATTGGCAATGTAGCTAGCTTCTTACATTTTTTTGAAATTCGCAACATCACAAATTAAGGGTATTTGTCTACAGCCTCAAGCAGCCCGTTCGCTGCCTCTTCATGCACTCCCTTGACAGTTTCCTAGAACGGAATTAGTTTTCCACGGTGTTGCACTCATTTGCGAGATGCATCATTCAGACATCAGATTTGCGTCATCTAACAGGACGACACTACCTAGATAGTGTCAGAAGCATCACAAGGGGGACGTGACTGGGCTTCACAGGACATGGAAAGTTTCCTTGTTGCTTGTTTTCTGGTGCTAAAGTAAGGAGGCTTTGGCAGTATGAACACTGGGTTGCTGAAGTGAGCACTAGTTCATCCTGCCAGCAGTATTAAACAATGCCTCCAGGTTTTTGGTGGTTTTTCAACTTGTATGAAATTAGTAGATGAGCAGTAGGTATTTATTCCGAAATGATCCCGAAGTTAAGCCCATTGCGTATAGGCATACCACTGCAAAATTTGTCGTCAAAGCGATCTTGATATAGAAATTTCCTGCAGACCAAAGGCGAATGCATTTAACCGTCTTCCCCTTGTTTCTATCCTGACACGCTTTAAACTTTATGTTCACGTTTTGAAATTTTCGGGAAACAATTCAGTTTTTTGAAGAACTGAACTGCAAACAAAACCAGTAAGGCCCAGAAGTTTCAAGTTTTTATTAAATATCAATGAAATTTTGCGCATTTCCCATGCGTCTAGGAAGCTGCCGTTGATTACTCTTTGGCTGAATGTAATATCATAAAATTTCGATTAAAAATCAGCTAATGACGTAATTCGAAAATATTGTGTTGCATTCTGATTTAGAAGCTTTTGGCAAGAGACAGGATCACAATTCAGGCTTTGGGAGTAAGCATGATAGTCCGGTGGCTGTTGTCAGATGACTGGATGATTATCCACCTCACCGGCTTGAGTAAAATATGCAGTGCTTGTTTTGAACATAAATATTGATTAGATATGTGATAAAACATCCGAAACTGAAACAATACACACTGAGGTGTACGAGATGGCCCTTTACCTGGAATAAGCTAAGTTCTGTTTTATGTATCTTGGTGTTGTAAAAGGTGTACATAATAAGTGATTTTTTAAATTACGGGCGGTATCTAACAGGTATAATTCATCAGAAGGTAACATTGATGGGAAAATTTGCAGGACTTCTTGATTCCATGTAAAGGAGGCAAAAAGGAAAGAGTTTTGGGGGTAAGCTGTTTTGGTTACATTTCTTTACCATGCACTTTACAGTCATTCTTACAAGTATTTAAAAGGACGTTATCCAGACAAAGGGTCAAAGAAGGTTGAGTGAGTAGTAAACCTGACGTCGTGTGCATATTACTCTTGAATTTTCGGTGCTTAGTCCGACGTCCTGGTTTTTGTTTTGTCTAGTTGCACTCAGCTTGTTTCTTCGGGTACCTTCAATGTCCTGCTTCCTTTCGCTGCGCAAGCGTATTTTGAGTTATGCAATAACGACGAGATCTTCGACACGAAAAAAACGTCATTTTACCTCAAGGATATTTGTCGGTTGCATGCAACCTAGAAGCAAACATTCCAGAAGACCCTACAAACGGCGGAATAGCTTTAGAAGCCTACAAATACTCAGAGGGCACCTGATTAAATGTGATCAAAACTGATTAGACACAAACGACGATGTTCTGTAACCAAAGTAACGGGATTCCCAGGGTAAAGAAAGATCACTCACAGTTCCTTTCTGCGTAAAAAGGTCAGATCTCAAGTGCCTAACTGCGGAATTCTCTGGCAAAGAGCACTAAAGTTTCTGATCTTTGTTTGCTTATCATCTTGCGGCTCTCAGATATATTCGTTTCTCGTCTAGAGTCTATTTGATGTCTAGCTACTAAACCTGCGTTGGCTTTACTTTCTTTCAAGCACAACTTTGTGAGAACATGCTCATTAAATCGAATAGTTGCGTTTCTCTCGGCCCTTTCTCTATTCTTGCTTTGTCAAACGCACGAAAGACCATGACAGTGTTAGTATTTATTCCTGAACATAAAGGTACATACCGTTTTTACAGGTATGAATAAGTTAATATGTAAATTACATGAATCCTTATGACGCTTAATCTCAATCACCACCTGTTCCATCACTATGGGATAAAAGTACTGCCCGTTTATATTATGAAATATCCCTACAGAATAGGCATGCAGGAACTCACAATTTCAACGAGTGGAAGTATTATACTGGGTTCGTACCTGGACGCTATATTTATTACCTGGGGAAAAATAAAGTCTGAAGTTAATACTTTCATTGTAACAGTTTGTGCTTTTTGCTAAGGATAATCATGAAGAGTTCGCGATGGAATATGTACAAGTTGTTCATTTACTGTACTTCGGTGGTGATTCCAGAACTGCAAAATTTATGTTCGTACCATTTCACGTCTACGATTCACAATCTTGCTGAATATTATGACAGGGCTAAGCATCTACACTTTTCAGCTCCAGCAATCAAAAGCAATAGTTTTGTTTGAATGCGTCAGGCGAACTTCCAGAATATCTTGTCCACCATTTTTATGGGTCGTGACAATTTTGTGGTCAATAAGTGTTAGACTTGCCTGGTCACTTTCACTATCAAAATATCCAAGTTTCGTATCGTACTGAAATTGTAGTCCAATAAACATCCTTCATTTCCGTTTGTTGTTGTTACAGATTGCGAAAGTGGCCACACTGGCTACCCACAATAAAAGTGGTTTCAGCTAGGGTCTGTTCTTTAGATAATCAATTTTGAGTGACGAGTGAGCCAACATTTAGAACTGAACTGATTTTATACAACGAGAAAAAAACAAAAACAAAGCACCAGGCGGAGAAAGAAGCAAGGGTTTCAACAA